TGGTAGGGGGTCCACTGCCGACCACAGGGTCGGCAGGGGGTCCACTACCGCCCACAGGGTCGCTATGAAGTCAACTATCGCCCATAGTGTTTGCATAGTGTCCAATACCGCCCATAGTGTTTGTATAGTGTCCACTACAGCTCATACTGTTATTATGGGGTCCACTACCCCTCATAGTGTCGGTATGGGGGTCCATTACTACCCACAGGGTGTGTCTGGGGTCTATTTTTTTCTGTATAGCAGAGGTGGCAATACTGCTTTTCCAATCCCATTTGTTGTTCAATGTAAAATATTTGTTGCTCGACTTGCAACAATTTATATATATATATATATATATATATATATATATATATGTCGTACCTAGTAGCCAGAACTCACTTATCAGCCTACTATGCAAGGCCCAATTTGCCTAATAAGCCAAGTTTTCATGAATTAATTGTTTTTCGACTACCTAACCTACCTAACCTAACCTAACCTAACTTTTTCGGCTACCTAACCTAACCTAACCTATAAAGATAGGATAGGTTAGGTTAGGTAGGGTTGGTTAGGTTCGGTCATATATCTATGTTAATTTTAACTCCAATAAAAAAAAATTGACCTCATACATAATGAAATGGGTAGCTTTATCATTTCATAAGAAAAGAATTGAGAAAATATATTAATTCAGGAAAGCTTGGCTTATTAGGCAAATCGGGCCTTGCATAGTAGGCTGAGAAATGCGTTCTGGCTACTAGGTACGACATATATATATATATATATATATATATATATATATATATATATATATATATATATATATATGTCGTACCTAATAGCCAGATCGCACTTCTCAGCCTACTATTCAAGGCCCGATTTGCCTAATAAGCCAAGTTTTCATGAATTAATGTTTTTTCGTCTACCTAACCTACCTAACCTAACCTAACCTAGCTTTTTTTGGCTACCTAACCTAACCTTACCTATAAATATAGGTTAGGTTAGGTTAGGTAGGGTTGGTTAGGTTCGGTCATATATCTACGTTAATTTTAACTCCAATAAAAAAAAATTGACCTCATACATAGAGAAAAGGGTTGCTTTATCATTTCATAAGAAAAAAATTATAGTAAATATATTAATTCAGGAAACTTGGCTTATTAGGCAAATCGGGCCTTGAATAGTAGGCTGAGAAGTGAGTTCTGGCTACTAGGTACGACATATATATATATATATGTCATCAGAGAAGCAGAAATATAGGCAAATTTTAAATCCCTTGTCATAAATATAACTGAAGTGAAAGCAAAGATATATGCATTTTGATAGTTACAAAGACAGCTCTTTAACACGGGTGGAACACGAACAAGGGGAACTTAGTACCCAAATGAGCCACAGATATATTAGAAAGAATTTTTTCAGTGTCAGAGTAGTTAACAAATGGAATGTATTAAGCAGTGATGTGGTGGAGGCTGACTCCATACACAATTTCAAATGTAGATGTGATAGAGCCCAATAGGCTCAGGAACCTGTACACCTGTTGATTGACGGTTGAGAGTCGGGACCAAAGAACCAAAGTTCAACCCCTGCAAGCACAAATTAGGTGAGTACAACTAGGTGAATAGAGCTGAGGGGCGGGACCAAACAACTGAAGCTCAATTCCCTACGCATAACTAGGAGAGTCCATAGGAATTACCGTTTGTCCTGTCGCCATCTATGTTTTGACAGCAGTACTACTAATGTTCCCACGTTATATGATGATCGCTATACGGGTGTTACGGTCAGTTGCTCTTCTATATATGTTTATGGACAACGTAGGTGATTTGAGGCAATTTGCGGCCAGAGTGAAATAGTATCCACGCGGTGAGTGATGGAGGAGGATATATACACTGCTGTGTACTCGACCAGCGGGCGAGAGGTAAGTTATATCGAACAATTATGGGGAATAGATGGGTTATTTTAAGCGTAGAATGTCAGGTAACCGGTAAGTACACAGATAGGGTAGTGTTTTTTGAAGTCTTTATTTACTAAAGTGGAACATTACATTATGCCTTTAGCTGAACAAGTCTACTGGTGGGGGAAGTAGACGGGTTTTATGAAAGTATTTTACCTAAATATTTGTATTTGGTTAACTAGTTCAGCCGTTACCAGGGAGGGTGTTCCTTTAATCTAATCTAAAAATTCTAGCCGGACAAAGTGGTTTGCCAGGGTGCTTAACATTTAGTTTAGTTCACTTACTATGTAGCCCATGCTTAAAGAATGCAAGTTTTATCATATTGAATTTACCGTAGTTTGACTGCATTTAATATACCGTTTTTACCCTATTTAATTATGTCGGGTAAAGGCCGGTCGTGGAAAGTTCCTAATATAGCAAGTTTTAAAAGAAAAGTTTGAGTTTAACGCTTAAGTTAGTGACCAATTAGCTTAGTCTATTGTGAGGAAAGTTACTAGAATCTAACATTGCAAGTGCCATTTCTCTACTCTTTTTGAGAAACATGACTAGATACATGAATCGCATAGTTTTATTACTAAATGTTCATGGATTAGGTTGCATAGTTGAGGAAATGGTGATAAGGTTTGTGATTTTGTGTACCTTGACTTCAGCAGAGATTTTGATAGTGGCGCAAAATTGATAGGGGCTCGGATCATTGGGAATGCCGACTGAAGTTGATTAGGTCATGGCTATACCAAAGGAAATTAGTATAAATGGTGTTAAGTTGGGAGAAGTGTTGTAAGTAGTGCCTAAAAGCTCTCCTTGGACCTCGGTTATTCGGAAGATTATGGTTTAGACAGCAATAGTTGCAGAATTGGTAAATAAAAAATACAGATGCCCTATATAGTTTTGAAATGGTTAAGACTACCAGATGCAGTTTAATGCTGACAAATGTAAGGTTTGGGGGCTAGGTAAAGATGAGATAGATGTTGTAGATTGTTAAGAGTATTAAATTTTTTGCAGGTGGTAAATTCTCCCCGAGCTGGCACTGCTCTCCAGCCTGGGATGTTGATTGGTTAGTCTTCAACTGCCTCCCAACATGGTAGTGAGGTCCTGAGCTGACATGCAGTGAGGAACGTGGAAAGCTTCCTGAATTGGCACATGGTATGCCTCCCTTTCAAACCAGCAGCTGGCACAAATGTTCCAGCTAACATCAGAATAGTGGATGAAGCCCACACTAAAATGTAAGTGGTACAGTAAATGGACACCCCCCCCCTCCCTTTTGACACTGAACAGTTGGGAGGAAGGGGGGGGGGGTGCATTATTCTTTGCAAAAGAATAATAATTTGTAATATGTATTTTGTATTGCTTTTATTCAAATGTTATACATGGTTGTTAAATTAAAGTTTGTTTGCAATGTTCCAGAAAAATGTTCATAAGTTGTTGGAAAATAAAATTTGTATAGGATGTTGACTTGAAATGACTATAGCTGTTTGTAATAAAGATGGGACAACAAGATACTTAGTGTGGCATTTAAAACGGCAACTGTTAAACTGGTGGTACAGGTATGAACAAAATAACATCGCTATGCAAATAACTTTTTAGTAATATTTACTGTTCACATGACAGGTTGTGGAAGGTCCTGGCAACAAAGAGCTGCAGGAAAATACTTGCAGATCTACAGTAAGTAGTGTTGTGTACATTGGAATTAGAGGGTAGAAGTTAATTGCTAAAACCTATTAAATATTAGGGTATGGAAGTCTAGGCTTAGGCTAGTGGGTACCATATCTGCAAGTTTAGTCCTTTCAGGAATGTATTGAAATTGTAAAAATTGTAATGTGGGCATTAGATCTTAAACAGCATAGTTGAGGGTGTTTTATTAATAATTTTAATGAAATATAAATCTTGTTTAGTGAACATTAAATGTTTGTTAAATAAGCTTTAATCTATAAATGTATAACACTTAAGGGTAATAATGAGTCAAAGTTAATGGCAGGAAACGTTTTGTTCTAAGTGATGGTATTTTTCCCTTGAAAGTAAAAAAAATATTCAGTTTACTTTAGCTTGGTATTAAATTTATATAGTTTTCCAGAATGGTTTGGAAAGTCCAGAAGTTCCTCTGTCAGTTGGAAGAGTTAATTTCAGTAAAGGTTAATCTGAATAGATTTGCATAAAAGTAAAAAAATAGTAATAACTTAAACAATATAGCATTGGCTAAAGATAAATATAAATTGCCATTGAAGTGCAGTTGTGGATAGTTTCTCAAATGACATTTACTGAAACCTGGCAAATTGATGCCATATATATTTATATTGCTAAATTAGATCTTTACTACTGCTACTAGAATATGTAGGAAAGGTAAATTCCTTAAAGAAATTTTTTTCCATCTGAATTTGTAAACTACTGAATACTAATTTGAAAAGTAAAGCAAGATTGGCTTTAAATCTGATTAATTTGTTGAAATATTTTTCAGGTGAGTGATTATGATGCATGGACTGGCTTGGAGTGAGTCTCCTTTACTCTACAAAAGTGGGTGAGTTTGAATTTGATGTTTTAGCTATATCAAAGACCTAATCTTTATTCTCTTATCTAGTCCATTTATAGGTGTGTAACCATGTCCTACTGTTACAACCCACAGGGGATGATGCAGTTTGTACTGATCCTACCCCATTTCATAAAAGGGGACCAGGCAGTCTTGCAGATTTCCCTGGCTTGGCTTTTTCAGAGCTTTGCTCTACTACCCATCTACTAGATGGACTAGATTTGCATAGGTTTAGGGGCCCTTAACAATGGTTACATTGTTAATTCTCACAGGGCTTGTTTGCTGAATGGGTGGATGCATCTAAAACTTTAGTGCCTGGCATGCATTGTACAGTGCTTTCAGTAAAGCATATGTACAATGTGTTGATGGCACTAAAGTTGTGGATGTAATGCACCCATTCAGGGAACAAGCTGTGCACTAAAATTGGAGGAAGGGATAGGCCTTGCTGAGCCTATCTTTAAAGATAGGCTGTTAGGAATTTTTGGGCTTATTATTAGGCATTGGTGATAATAAAAGTAGTGTCCCTGTTTAATGTTTATTTTTCTTTTACAGGTGATTGTCTCTGGAGTTGTCTTGGCCTTTTGGATCTTCTGTTCATCTAGGAGCATCTGTCCCACAACCTGAAACTGTAATAAATATTAGATGTATTATAAATACTATATGTAAAACTTATTAAATAAAACAATTTTAATGTAACTACTTTATATACCTTATCCTGAAATTATGCTGGAAATTGTTTACTACTATTGATGCAATGTTTAAACATCTGAAATTTTTTTACTTTGAAAATAAATACTTGGTAAAATTTACACCTATTTGTAACTTGTTACATAGGTGCATGCAAAATGCATTGAAAAGATGTAAAAGTGGACTACCTATTCAATTTACATAAACTAACAAATATTGCAAATTAGTCTGAAATATTAAAGTGGAAGAAACTTTAGTCAATATTTTAGTTTTCATATTTGAAAGTAAATTTTAAAGCTATGCAACACCTAAGCTTTGTACAAATTATGATTAAATTAACTAAAGATCATTGTTAAATTTACAAAACATTAGAAAAGTGACACTGAAGCATCTATACAACATGGTTTTCACAAAGTCTTGGGTAACTTAAATTTAATCAAAGCTCTTAAATGATTTGTCTGCCAAACTTCAGATATTCTGAAATATTTTACCTAGATTAAAACCATCATTGTTTGAAAGGGCGAAACAGATTACTGTCAATTAGTTTGACCTAACATCTGCAAGGTCCTGAAGGAATGGAATTTTTTTTGTAAAACTGTTTGCTAAAAACAAACCCTGCCTAATGAACCTGCTCATTTTTTTTAGAAATGGTAATTGCAACATTACCAAAGGCCATTGTTTTAATAGCCAAAGTACCAAATGAAAGACCAAGAAGCAACAAACGGGTACATGGTAGAAAGGACAAAAGAATGGTTACGAGGACCCTTTCATTTGTTAAAGAAATGACTGAGAAAAATGCTGTCGTACCACAAGGGGTCTTAACCCTTGTCATATACATCACTGACAATTAAATATTACCAACCACAAAAATTGCTGATAACATGTTATAAAAAAAATAAAGAATATTGAATATTGAGGCCTTAATGCAGATCTCTAACTCTACAAATAGTAACAAGACTGGCAATTTCTTAATATAAAACAGAAAAAAAAATCCAAGACTGCACGTGAGCCAGAACAATCCATATCACAACTACCACATTAAAATGAAAACAATGAAGGTAAGGTAATTACCAAAAGAAGGCACCAAACCGGGAAGGCCATGTAGCACCATCAAAGTGCGAAATAATCAGAGGGAGCTAAATATCACCAAGAATGCCAATAAGAGAACAAAAACGCATAAGGCGAACGATATCAAAAGTATCCGATTCACCTAGAATTCTATCGAGGGACAAGTGACTGCGAGGGACGGTCGGAAAGCAAGACACACGCTCGTCCTGGAAGTCAGGACATTCAACAAGGATATGCACAACTGAAAGAGGGACAACGCAATTCGGACAATAAGGAGCAGGGCGGCGCTCCATTAAGTGACCGTGGGTTAAGCGGGTATGACCAACCCACAGCCGTGCCAAAGCAGTGTCCCACCGCTGGTTACGGTGGTAGGAGGAAGGCCACGGGGACACACTAAATTTGAGAGTACGCAGCTTATTACCAACCACAGAGGGCCAACGGGGAAGAATGAATAACAGGATAAAAGTCGGAATAAGGAATACCTTTACGGGAGATGGGACAAGAACGGATAGCTTCCTTAGCGGCAGCATCCGCACGCTCATTGAAACACCAATATGGCTGGGAACCCAGCAAAACTCTACTGATTTAAATTTACTAGAAATAAGAAACAGCCAATGTTGAATCTCAATGACCACCGGATGGACAGGATTAAAGGACCCTAGAGCCATGAGGGCACTACGAGAATCAACTACAACCAACTACAACGGCCAGTTTCGCCAAAGTATTGGAGAGGACAAGATGAACAGGAAATAGAGTAGACACCAGCAGCATTAGAAGCAGGAGGAGCAGTGTGAACTAGATTACTACGAAGTGTGTTAGTTTGTCGAAAGGCGAGTTTAATGTCAAGAGGACGAAAGGTATTGGTAAAAGTTTTGAGTTCAGATATGAAGGGAAGGCAGAGTACAGTGCTACTAGTGTTGGAAGCAGGTTTAGGATGAAAGAAATTTCGTTTAGCTTGAGAGTAGGCACAGTTGATGAAATGCAAAGGATAACCAAGGCGAGAGAATGATTTGTAGATAAAGGCAATTTCAGAATCAAGAAACTGAGGGTCGCTGATGCGTAGAGCGCGGAGGAAGAGAGAGACGAGGACACTTTTCTTAACAGAAGGAGGATGGTAGGAAAAGAAGTGAATATACATGCCACTATGCATGGGTTTACGGTAGACAGAGAAAGAGAACCCAGACACAGAGCTGTGAACATGAACATCAAGAAAAGGAAGGAGGGAATTAGATTCCCACTCAACTTTGAAATGGATAGAAGGAGCCAGATTGTTAAGAGAGGCGAGGAAAGGCTGGAAAAGATTAAGGTCATGAGGCCATAAAGCAAAAACTTCTAGTCTGTGGTCTGGTCAACAAAGAATTTATTATCTTTACCGAGGTCCCTCTAGCCAATGACTGACCTTCCCCAGGATGCAACTTACAACAGTCAACTCCAAGGGAAATAAGTATCAAAATAATGTGCTAAGCTGGGGAAACTATGTAGCCAATTCTAAGGTCTACCTTGTGTAGCTTTCAAGGATCACATGCCCTGTTGTCTGGTCTCCGACCAGGCCTCCCAGTTGATCATCTGGTCAACCAGGCTGCTGGACGTGGCTGTTCACAGCCTGGTTGATTAGGTACGTATCTGTACTTTTTGTACTCTTGGTGAACAGAGGCATCAGATGTAATGAAACTTGGCCAAATGCCTTGCCCTACATGAGAATTTAACCTAAGGTCAATATGCAGTTGAGACAACTGCACTGTAACTCATTCTTCTTATAATACAGTACACAAAATGTGATAAGAGTGACAGGGGTGAGGAAATTAAATGCCTAGTGGGTGAGGTGCAATACAGTATGAACTCGTTAGTTGAATGCAAGAGAATCGTTTAGCAATGGTGTATAAAGGTAAAATAAGAGCATCATATGATAAAGTAAGATTACCAACAACTTTAAAAAAATTACCATGGTAACAAAATATAAAAGAAAAGGTGGGGGATGGTGCAAGACGCCTTGAGCTCATCTTGCAGACAAGTTACACTCACTCCTACTCAGTAGCTCTTCTAAGCTTCAGGTGAAGTTCAATGGGATGGATCAAGGTAAGGTGTCAGGTCTCTCCCGCTGCTGATCAGTTATCAACATAACTATTCAATCAACTCACTGATATTTGTAGTCATCTTCATAGTCCACGTCAACTTGCATTCATCATATGACAAATCCTGCAAGATGGGGAAATTAGGGAAACCAAGCTAGATTTTGAACTAAACCTAGTAACATCTACCATAGACAAAAAGGTAGTAGCACAGTGCTGTTTTCCTATTTATATGTTAATAAATTTCAGACAAAGCTTGCATGGTCCCCAAGTTATAAATCACTACCAACTATAACTCTCGAGAATTCGATCCTGGAAAGCCAGGGGTCACCCTGCTGGGATGACCTCTGGCCATCTGGGTTCAAGTACTTGAGGGTCATAGTTCATAGCAATAAATATATATACAGTAAATATAAAATATACACTGCAACCTCCAAAAACTGGATTATATAATTCCAGGCCCATTCAGGATTTCCAAATACAAGTACATGTATAGTACATTAATTCATATCTGAATAATTGCTCCCCCCCCCTTTTTTCTATCACCAAATTTTTCTTTCGCAAACAAATATTATATAATGATTTTGTGCGCATATAACAATAATGCATGACAAAAATACAAAACAATTTGTTTACTTACCCTTTATGTAGGGGCCTCGTAGCCTGGTGGATAGCGCGCAGGACTCGTAATTCTGTGGCGCGGGTTCGATTCCCGCACGAGGCAGAAACAAATGGGCAAAGTTTCTTTCACCCTGAATGCCCCTGTTACCTAGCAGTAAATAGGTACCTGGGAGTTAGTCAGCTGTCACGGGCTGCTTCCTGGGGGTGGAGGTCTGGTCGAGGACCGGGCCGCGGGGACACTAAAAAGCCCCGAAATCATCTCAAGATAACCTTATGTAGCACAGGCTGGTCTTGATAAACCAGACAGCAAAATGGAAGACCCAAACTACAAATGGGTTATGTTCTGAAAGGGTGTTCATAAAACATTTGCTCGGAACGTGGAACAAGACTTCTGATAGAAGCTATCTATGCTATACATGGGGGGGATGCTATTCCGGACCACCAAAAATCATCACAAACCAATGTTTTTGCAAAATATAACAGCATATTAATTCCCTTGAAAGATGGAGTTGTCCTGCTTGTCAAAGTTGGACATTTTTGTGGAGTGAAGAAAACTAGTTTCTGGAGGTGGTAGCCGTAGGTGAAGCATCTGCAGCGGAATTTGGCTGGTTATTTTTGTCATCTTTTGTGTTATTGGCTGTGTTTGATGTGGAAGATTAGGCATGATCAATAGGCATCAACCAATCAACCAGGTATCAACCAGGTGCTGTAGAACTATTTCAGCAGTGCAAAACCCATCATATGCTCTTGAATGTATGTTTTGTCCTTTGGGATAATCCCAATTGTCGCATGGTTCACACTGTAAACATTTGCAATCTTATCTCGAGGTTATCTTGAGATGATTTCAGGGCTTAGGGTCCCCGCAGCCTAGTCCTTGACCAGGCCTCCTCTTTGTTACACCCCCCCTTCCCCCCAGGAAGCAACCTGTAGCAGCTGTCTAGCTCCCAGGTACCTATTTACTGCTAGGTAACAGGGGCATCAGCATGAAATAAACTGCCCGTTTGTTTCGGGGCAGGTCACTTTTCCTTGGGACTGATCATTACCAACAACATCCTCTTCCTACCACCCATTGTTAATGGTATTTTCCTATTTTGAAGACAAAGTTTTGTCAACATTATCCCCAGCTTTATGGAGAACATTTGGAGCTAAACCAACCCTCAAGGAGATGTTTGTGTATTCTTCAGAATAATACTCAATATCTGATGGGACTAATATTAGCACATATCTTGATTTACTATGTCAAACATGGCACAATAGTTCTACAAAACTAAATATAAATACAAATGTAAAAGGCTTTGGTTCAATGAGGATGCACAAACAGTAAGTTTGTACACTTTAAATTCCATTTAAGCCATTAAATATCATGACTGGCAATGCCAAGTTTTTCCAGATGGCCATGAGCCAGCTGTTGTTTAATTATATCTTCCATGTTTAAATCTGGATTGCAAGATAAGTTGATTACCTCACTAGCAATAACAAATTCAGGTCCAACAATAATGCAACATCAGTTCTCAACTAAAACAATCATGTGTATCAAAAATATTTAATATTACAATAATGATTTCCTAAATAAAATTTAGTCAGATTTGATCACATAACAAAAATAGCAATTAATTTTTACTCTAAACATACTGCAGTGTTCAAATCTTTAATTACAAAAAAATTATTAAACATTGAGCCTTACAATAACATTTGGGATAGTGGTATACTAAATAGGAATGTATCACACACACAAATATTCTAACCATTTAAGAATAAATGTACTATTTATCTTTACACAATATAGTCACTACACTGATTTAAATAATCTCTGGTACTTATGTACACTAATTTGTAGTTTAATCACGTTAATCAGATAAATTAACTTATGATAGTTAATTCTGATTAGTTTGGAGATATTCATATTCAAATTACAGCTCAAAATGAAATAGTCAATACTGTTATGAATAGGCCAGAAACTCTTCAAATAGCTTATAGGTGCACATAATGGGGCGTTTAGGTTCGAGGCCTTCATTGTAAAGGCATTTAATATCATGGTTCGTACATTTTATAAATTAACTATAAAAACTAGAACAACACAACTGTACACAAAAAAAAAATACTTTTTTTTAAAAGCTGCATATACAAGTGTGAGGTGTGGTCAAGTTTCTTCTTCTAATTTTCATTACTTCAGTAAATAACACATTCCTCATATTTCCAGCATCACATTCTCCCACACAAAGATTTATGCACGGAAGAACTTGACACCACCATTACAGCAAACCAAAACTTAAACCCAGCTACATTAAATAGGAGAAAATGATGGACCGTTACATTTTTAACTTCTTTAACGCATGGTTCAGCGAGAACCCGCCCCCACATATGTTAAGAAAATTATACTGAATTTAAAAAAAAAAAAAAAAAAAAAAAAAAAAAAAAAAAAGACAAAATACAGTACAGTCATTAAAGATGTCCCATTCTATTTCCATGTAACTGCTATATGTGACGCAAGTTAAACAAAATATTATACAAGCACATTTTAGGTCAAGTGCATCTTTTCTTCGTTAAAACAGGCAAAGAACTACAAGGATATATATATTTTTAACTAATTATTTGGGGCCATAAATAACAATGGCATGTACTGTATGCTACCAATATCAGTATGTATAGACTACAAACATTTCTAGTCGCCTTACGAGAAACAAAGATTTAGCTCACAAACACCAACACATTAAACGAGTAGCAAATTGTGTCTAGTCAGGCATAATTATTCACTGTACTACTATAAAATAGATTCAGATTCATTTATACCAACTTTTGTCTTTATATGACGATAACACAATAGTAATGCCCATTACAAATATCACAGGCTGAAGAAATCTATTATCCTACCAAAAATTCAATATTTCTATAAGAAATGCTTCATTAGTAACTTTAAAATGTGCCAATTTGTATATATCACCAAAATTCTTTGACCTTTAATACTGTATTTGCATAAAATGCAATAAAAATTATACTGTACAGTGTATGTTAAGCAATAAATAAAATAAAAAATTTACCCCACCATTAGGTGAAATGAGACCAAAGGACCTCAATAATGAAAGAGGATAAATTTAATGGATACAACAAATATAATTGCAATTTATCTACAAAAATACTGGACATCTAAAATAATTTTCCCCACTCCTGTCTCCAGCACAGAGGCGACATTCTCGTGGGCAAGATAAAATTTATACGTGCGCTTAAAGAAGAATCTTCAGTTCTAAAAGACCAGTTTTAATAGCTAAAACTTGGAATGTCGTTCAATTATAGAGGCTCTACTGTAGCATTGGGGTTATCTATGCCCTCCTTATCCATCGAATCTGTTGATCTGAAACCAAGAAATTCCAATTAACAAATACTTGCTTATACTGTATTTTTGGTGATCTATTATACAAGATACCTTATTCAGTACAGCATGGGTATGATAATGGGTTTGCAGTCAGACACTAGAGTTAATGGAGTGGCACCCACCCTGTTGAATGCCATATGAAGGCCACATGGCATACCTTCTGGATGACGGGATGTCAAGCGAGGACCACTCGCTGCTCTGCCTTACAACAGTAGGGTAGAGTGGACTGGCCTTTACACAGCATCCCATCATCTGGAAGGTCAACAAGTGGCCCTACATGGCATCCCACCATCTGACAGGGCAGCCAACAAATGACCCCATCCCATTACTCGGCAGAGTGCCAAGTAACTCCTCTCCCCCCTACATGGTGTCCCATCAATATATAGGGTGGCGAGTGGCCCCCTTCCCCCACTCTGTGTCCCACCATCTGGCAGGACACAGAAGCCTTTTCCTCCCTGCCAAATGATTGTTATGGTGCACTTGCCACCCAGAAGCTCCACAAACTCTTGCTTCTAGACTCCTACCCCAACAAATACTGTAGACATAAAAATAAAGGTCACAAATAGCTGAATATACAGACACGAGAAATGCACAAGTAGAGAAGTATACACCAAATTACAGCATCAAACTGTAAAAAAAATCTTATTATGTAAAGAGTACACTGCTCACCTTCCTGATGAATTTGATGCAATAACTGGCTCTGTGTCTTCCGGCAAGTCATCATTGATACACCCTCTATTCCTCAGGAACGGTAATATCACAACATCGTTATACAGCATCATGCCAATAACCAACACAGCAAATCCAATTGGCTGTAAAAAAAAAAGATCATCATAAACTTTTGAAATCCAGCAAGAGCATTATGTAAAGAAAGGATGTGAATGAGCAAGTAGTGCGAGTGGTATGGAACAACGCGTGTGTGAAAGAGCAGGAAACGTGTTGCACGGTGGAATGAAAGTATGAAGGACATGGAAAATGGAACAAGCATGGTGTTGAGGGGACTGACATGTTACATAATATTGAAGTCATTGGTGCTATTTAGACAGAATAAGCTTTCAGGTATACTTTAAGAAGTGTAAATCGTTTTACCAGTCAACTGCGCTTCACTTCATATGAAGTGTATGGGTACCGCGCACGATTTGAATGGCCCGCGGTGTAGCTGGGGGTCCCATACGCTGCCCAGGGGCTCTAGTAAACAGCGGCCATTTTGAAAAAAAATCCAGCTCACGATTCGATGGCATGGGAGGCCTCAGTTTAGCGAGAGTCACCATGGCGAGCGCACGGTCAAACGCCTCACGGGCACGCACCACTCAGTCCCTCACCCCAGAGCAAATAGCCCACGAATTATTCTCTGAAGGTGAAGAAAGTGTGTTTGACGATTCAGACAACGATGAGGATTATACACAGTTGTCGGGTGATAGTAGCAGCAGCAGTGAAAGTGAGAATGACCGCCATGCCATGGCGAGGCCTATACGCTCTCCCATGCCTCCTCGCCCATTTTCTACCCCAATTCTACCACGACCTCACAGTTCCTGTGGATATTTTCTGTTTGAGGGTGACGAGTCAGAGGGAGGTGACTCCTTTTCTGGGTTTAGTGACTCAGATCAAAGTTTTATTGAGCCTGTGGCTGGTACCAGTGGTGTAACTGGGCGAGAAATTGTCGCGTCAGCAGCATCTCGCCCGGCCAAGCGCCACCGCATGGCACCACATGAGGGACCAAGACCCTCGTGTTCACGTGCACCCACCTCACGTGCACGTAGCCGCCGTGCTTCTCGCAGACGGTATTCAGCTCCTGGTCGCCGGTATGCATCGCTTCCTCGCCGTCTTTCCTCTGCATCTCGCAGGACGCCTGGTGTACTTGAGTGGAGTGATGGTGGCGATTTTATTCCTAATATTCCTCACTTTGACGATAAAGATGTAGGGATTACAAACCTTTTCCCTTATCAAGGTGAGGACATGGCTGAGATGGAATATTTTACAGCATTCTATGATGAACCACTCATGGAATACATTGTACACCAAACGAACCTGCATGCTGCTTACCTGATTGAGAGGGAAATCACAGAATTTTCACGACTGCAGCGTTGGAAAAATACCACAGTGGCGGAAATGTATGTGTTTTTGGCACTCTGTTTGTTGATGAAGCACTGTCACAAACATGCAATAAATGACTATTGGAGCAAGGACAAGACAATACCAACACCTTTATTCGGGAAATATATGTCACGAGACAGGTTTCAGATACTCCTCAGGTGTCTACATTTTGGACGTGTTCAGGACCGAACACCTGATGATAGACTGTGGCGAGTGAGGCACTACATGAACGATGTTATTGGAAAATTCAGAGATTTTTACGTACCAGCACAGAAGCTGGTGGTTGATGAATCTCTCATACTTTTCAAGGGACGTGTTCCATTCAAACAGTACATTCCCTCAAAACGAAACCGATTTGGCCTGAAATTTTTTGTTCTTTGTGATTGTGAGACAGGATACGTGTTACACATGATTCTGTACTCGGCTAGTGATGTAGACATTCCCGGTAACGACGAACATAGATTCTCGGGGAGTGTAGTGAAGACCATCATGGCTCCGTGGATGAACAAGGGACACATTTTATACACAGATAATTACTATACAAGTCCCTTGCTAGCTCGGTTCTTGCTAGAAAATAGAACCGGATTGGTTGGTACAGTAAAGCCACAACGAAGGGAAATGCCTGTGTTTGACAACGACATTGCAGTTGGTGAGTGTCAGAAGGAAAAGTGATAACATTCTGTCAGTTCGGTGGAAAGACAAAAGAGAGGTGAACTTGTTGACAACAATTCATGATGGAACAATGGTGAACAGTGGGAAAGTGAGCCATAAAACAAACGCACCACTATATAAGCCAGACTGTGTTTTAGACTATAATATCAACATGCGGTTGATTGATAAATCAGACATGATGATTGGCACTGCAGAGTGTGTGCGGAAGACATGTAGGTGGACGAAAAAAGTGTTCTTCCATCTTGTGGACATGAGCATGCTGAACTGTTTCAACATGTACCTTGTGAGAACTGGACGTAAGCCCACTTTCCGTGACTTTGTATTTGATGCTGCAATACAGTTATTAGGAAAGTTTGCAAAAGATGTCCCAGGTATTCAGCGGCCCATCATAAACCCACTGTTGCAGCATGCTGGTACTCCACGCCTCGCTCACACTGAAGGCTTCCTAGCACACAAACTTAAGTATTTGCCACCTGGTGTGAAGCGTGCAATAGCCCAACGTGATTGCTTGGTGTGTAAAACAACGACACGTAGAGACAAGAAACGGAAGCTTGTGCAAACATGGTGTGAAACGTGTGGTATCCCATTATGTGCTGTCGACTACTTCAATGACTACCACAGTCTAGAAATCTTCTAAGTGTGCTTCAAAGTGTGTATAGCGTGTGCGAGTGTGTAAATATGTAAACATATAAGCAGATAGCGTGTGCGTGTGTGTAAATATATACAAATATAAGCAGAACATACAATATAATAGACTGTAATGACATATTATATTGCCGTAATTGAAAACATTTGTGTGCGCCTGTGTATACTCAAATATGCAACAATTATTGATACAAAATATGTTCAAACAGTATTTGAAACACAATTAGTGAAAAAAAATTAGATAAAATGCGCTTAGACATTGTAAATAAATAGCGCGAAAATATATTTGTGGCAACTGTTTGAGGACCGCGCGCAACATCTCCCGGGCGTGTACTGCATGAGCGAACATGCAGATTGTGACGTCATCACCGAGCTTCTCGGCTCTATTGCAACAAAAGTAAGTACAATAGAATTTTTTTTTTATTTTTCCCGTGATCAGTGAACAGAACTTAACAGATTAGCAAAAAAAAAAAAAAATTTTTTTTTTTCAAAATGACATGCGCCTGTGTGGATAGCAGGATATTAGACCCCGAGCATGTTAAGGGTTAAATGTTTAACTCCTGGCCAAAGCAGCAATATAGCTATGCATAAAGAAGATATATGGCAGTAATACTGAGCAAATGAATACAGTACACAATAGCAATACAGTTTTCACATGTAAATAAAAGGGATGCAACAATAAAGAAGACTGGTACAGGCATATACATATTAGAGGGAGATTTTGCTCTACGTATTAAGTGGGACCGGGACTAGAACTTGAACTTCATCTGTTCAGTGAAGTTTTCCCCACATACAGAGACTATCAATACCTTACAATCAACTCCCAGTTTTAATTCCCGTTGTCGGGGACAGGAAGCCTGGAGCTAGCCTTATTCAGGTCCCCCCCCCCCCCCACCTAGGCCAACAACCGACACTTCCTAGGATTCTACCCTCAACTTTCGCCTAATTCCCAGATACCTGTTTACTGTTTAGTGAACAGGTCATCAGGTGGAAGAAAACGTGCTCAATTAATTTCGTACCACATGATGAGGAAGTCGAGGACACAGGATATTATACTCTACACGAGACGAGATTGAAAATCTCACATTAGGTTTTCAGTGTGTATACCCATTACATGGGAAACATTAAGCACGTGTAATGTGTGACACAAGATGAGAAACTCATCTTGGAGACTCGTGTGAGCTGTCAAAGGAACCAAGTGAAGTGAAAAGACAAGAAAGATGGGAGGAGATGCAAGTAGAGGGCCACATGAAGGTTTGATATTAGAATGTTTAAGGTTTAAAAATGGTTTGGGTGTCACAATTAATATTTTTAACCATCACTCAAGTACATGCCCAACCTCTCCAAACAAGTGTCTCCATTTCATGTAAAAGGAGCAACAATTATGCGACAAAAATTATTGAACATTTGAAAACAAACAAGTATACCCTTTACCCTGTATTGCATGACATTTCATCAAACAGCACCATAACTGCACAAAATAAATTGAAACGTTTTTCTTACCTGAAGATACTGAAACTCTTCTTACCTGAAGATACTGAAACTCTTCTTACCTGAAGATACTGAAACTCTTCTTACCTGAAGATACTGAAACTCTTCTTACCTGAAGATACTGAAACTCTTCTTACCTGAAGATACTGAAACTCTTCTTACCTGAAGATACTGAAACTCTTCTTACCTGAAGATACTGAAACTCTTCTTACCTGAAGATACTGAAACTCTTCTTACCTGAAGATACTGAAACTCTTCTTACCTGAAGATACTGAAACTCTTCTTACCTGAAGATACTGAAACTCTTCTTACCTGAAGATACTGAAACTCTTCTTACCTGAAGATACTGAAACTCTTCTTACCTGAAGATACTGAAACTCTTCTTACCTGAAGATACTGAAACTCTTCTTACCTGAAGATACTGAAACTCTTCTTACCTGAAGATACTGAAACTCTTCTTACCTGAAGATACTGAAACTCTTCTTACCTGAAGATACTGAAACTCTTCTTACCTGAAGATACTGAAACTCTTCTTACCTGAAGATACTGAAACTCTTCTTACCTGAAGATACTGAAACTCTTCTTACCTGAAGATACTGAAACTCTTCTTACCTGAAGATACTGAAACTCTTCTTACCTGAAGATACTGAAACTCTTCTTACCTGAAGATACTGAAACTCTTCTTACCTGAAGATACTGAAACTCTTCTTACCTGAAGATACTGAAACTCTTCTTACCTGAAGATACTGAAACTCTTCTTACCTGAAGATACTGAAACTCTTCTTACCTGAAGATACTGAAACTCTTCTTACCTGAAGATACTGAAACTCTTCTTACCTGAAGATACTGAAACTCTTCTTACCTGAAGATACTGAAACTCTTCTTACCTGAAGATACTGAAACTCTTCTTACCTGAAGATACTGAAACTCTTCTTACCTGAAGATACTGAAACTCTTCTTACCTGAAGATACTGAAACTCTTCTTACCTGAAGATACTGAAACTCTTCTTACCTGAAGATACTGAAACTCTTCTTACCTGAAGATACTGAAACTCTTCTTACCTGAAGATACTGAAACTCTTCTTACCTGAAGATACTGAAACTCTTCTTACCTGAAGATACTGAAACTCTTGCCACTTGACAATGAGAGAGACCACCCAGATAACAAGTGTACGAACAGAGTCGAGCACCATGCGGGTAGTTGCCGAGAGCTCCTTCGTTACACTCACACCAGCAAAGTTGAAAAAGGCTATGCTGATAATGTTACCTGAAAAATGATGAGTGTTATGCAATATATCAAGTCCAAGTGTCCTCCTATCTCCCGTTATCTCACAATTAGATGGTCGCCACAACACAAGATTCTCCAGGATCACCGCACAAACTTTTCACCTTTTCAAGTTCCTTTATATATATATATTGTTCCACTCTACCATACCAAGATACTGAGCATCTGCCTATGCCACATAATCCTACATTTCACCCCTTGTACAACCTGCTTGTTAACTAATTCTGAGTACTGGACTTCGCCCCTTTTTACATCCAAGTTTTCTTTTTTTAATATGTCGGAGCTGAAAGTAATATGCCATCTATCGGCCTTTTCTTACCTTCTACAAAAACATTCCTCCCTTTAATATTCACCTCACTTGCCACTCTTCTTCCACTCATTACCCTTGCTCTTACTTCTCCTTCAGTACTCTCCTTGTCTAAAAATGCCCATCGATATTAATATTTTCACTGACATTTCACCGACAACACTGTCACCCTTGACATACCTAATATGGGACCAATCAGAGCTGGATTATTGCCAAGCTGAGTAAATGCATCTGGAACGTCCTCCAGTACACCACGGGGAGTTCCACTGAAGATACCCGCAGGAATCCAGTAAAATGGCACCAGCAAGATTGTCATTACCGTAAAGCCAAAGACACCTGGAAGAAATGCACATTTAGTATGAAGGGCTCCATTGTACACTGAAACTGGAAGTTAAAATGAACATGAACACACACACACACACACACACACACACACACACACACACACACACACAAACATTTGGACTGGAGATTCATAAACCTCATCCTGGGAACATTCATGTTCCACCATGTTAAACAGGCCAAGGGAATGCCCCATCAATGTTGGATTTGATATTCACGAGGAAAGAAGATAACACATTTGACATTCAGTATCTTCCTTCCTTGGGTAAGAGTGACCATGTTCATTTGGAAACCAAATAGATAATGCATTATATTCTAGAAGTGAATGAGGAAATTAAATAATTTAATAACTATTTCAGGAGATGACAATATGGGGAGATTTAACAAGTTCTTTAATTTGGTTGGAGAGATTTGTCGTAGAGAAAGAAGTACTGTAAATGTAATGTATGCCAAGTTTAGATATTTATGATGAAGATAAAACTAAATTTATAAAAGGCAAGTGCAGAACTAGAGAGCAGGATTAGTTCAACAGAAATTGTGAAAGGGCTAGAGAACAAAAGACAAGAAAATTAAATCAATATTGGAAGAAAAGAAGGGCACTATCAGGGAAAAGTGCCTGAAAAGTCATTACAACTACGGGTGAAGTAGTAACAGGTATCCATCAGTCTCGGGAGACTATGAAGTTGCACTCCAGTTGTCGGTCTGGAGTGGCCTGGAGTGGCAAAACAGATTCAGGCCTATTCTATAAATTCATTAAAAGAAAATTGTATGTAAAGGATAAAATTCAGAAGTTGAAAATGGAGAACAGATTCACAGAGAATAAAAAGAAAATGTGTAAAACACTAAACGAAGACTTCCAAAGTGTGTTTGTGAAAAACAAAGTTTTTAGAAACCCAGAAAATATAAATTTTCAAGAATAACAGTACATAGATGTCTCTCGAGATGAAGTTGGCCCAGATGGAGTTTCACCCTGGGTTCCGAGAGAATGCGCATCCGAGCCGAATATTCCACTTGGAATTGATAGTTCAGACATCTTTATGCACAGGAATCTTGGTAGATATAAAGAAAAAGGCAAACAGTTCCAATCTACAAAAAATAATACAGTAGTACGAAAGACCAACTTAATTACAGAACTGTATCATTGACAAACATAATAGTAAAAACACTAGAAAAATAATTAAAACCAAATGGGCATAAGGCCAGGAGAGAAACGATATAACCGACAGTACGGTTTTTAAACAGGAAGATCTTGTGTAACAAATCTACTCATTTTCTATGACAGATCCACAGAGATTTTACAGGAAAGAGATGGCTGGGTTGCCAGCATATACATGGGAAAAAAAAAAAAACTTAAGCCAGTTATTTTCCCCTTCTCCTTTGTTGGTAATCAAATGTGTTCATTTTCCTCCTCTAAGTTCACCTACTTCGAGTCATATTGGCTTAAATCTGCCACATTTGCATCTCTAACAATTTTAGTTTCTTTGAGCTTGTTGAAAGGTGAGATAACTTAAAACTTTCTATTTGTAATAACACGTGATCTGATATCTCCATGGCAACCCTTGAAGCATGTAACGTTTCAAAATGCTTTACTTGGAAACAATGTCTCCTTTATCGTTATCTTCAGGACATTCTCGCTACTTCTATATCCAACCCTATTATTAGGTCTTATGATGGAATCAAGTGCAAGCAAGACTCTAAACAATACTTGAGCACACAATCATTTCACTATCACACATTTTTTGAATTTCTTATCATGCTATCACTCTTGTTATCCTATCAAAAGGATTTAATGCCAAGGTCAATTTAACTCATATGTTGTTCACATCATTTCTAAAGTGCATAACAGGCTTCCTCTCCAAACAACAGTCACACATTTCTAAAACACATCCTCATTTCACATTATTAAACACAGCTGTACAGTACAGCATATTTTTCTAATCGAAAAACGCTACTTCTTATATTTGTTTTCAACCATTTTTCTTGCATTATTCCTACACATATACTAAATCCCTAACATCTTGCCATTTATTCGTCTCTTTAAATACTTCAATTTATTTAATGACATGTAATCATGTAAGCAGTTCCAAGACAACCTGCCCACAAGCAAGGTGTATTATGATTCTGAAACCAGTGATGTCTTGAAGTAGAGGCGAGTGGTGATTTGAGGTACAGGTGGTAAGCTTGTCAAACGTCTTGCACTGTTCTTAACAAGTCTCCAATGAGCTAATCACTTACTCGATATCTAAATTCTAATATAATACTTGGAAGGGACTCTCCACTACCTACAATGGGTAGTGAATTCTCAAATGTCAATATTTACAGTTGATTCAAGCTAATGAGGAGATTAAGACAGTGCACAAAGCTGCAGGAAAACCAAGAAAACTTCAGGAGTGGGAAGACAGATGGCTGCTAGAATCTAATCCAAGTGGATTAATGGATATTATCTCAACACTAACACCAGAAGCCTATGTGAATAGGACAAAGTCAACAGCATATTGAAGTTAATGAACATAAGAGCACTTAAATAATCTAAAACTAGGAAACTTTCAAATCCATAAACATTGCCAATACGAGGCCATTAATTAAGTATGCAGCACCATCATGGGATCAGTATCATGTTCAGCACAAAAATAAAAGCTACCGAGGTATGCAACTAGACCAAGACCAGTAGTGAGAGCTCGACTGAAGGCATGTTAAGGGATCACACAACCTTACAGGTAAGAACAAAGAATATGTTCACTACATAGAAGATAATAGTTCGGAAATTGTTGTTGAATTATGGAACTACAGTACTGTAATTATTGGAGAACATAATGGATATGGGACAGCCATGTTGTTACAAGTGTAGGTTAAACATATACGAATGAGTTTACCTTGTATAGGACAATAGGCCTTCAGCCATTTCCTTCATTTTTATATTTGTATGCAGGACAGCAGGGTAATGGTTGCAACACAACCGAGGCTAAAGAATTTTCTTCCTTAGAAAACAATTCTTTCCCCTAGAGGGCCTTTTAATGCTTCAACACTCAAATTGCTTAGCTAATTTGAAGTCTTACATCATGATGTATATAACAGAAAATAGTTCACAACACTAATAAAAAATTTGGCATTTGGCAATTCAATCACAGGAGGTAATCACAGGATGCAACTGAAGCTGGTCGAGGGTTAAGCTAGTGTGGATAGTCAAGGGAAAATATTGGCAGCAGTGTTCTCAGCAGAACATTTTCTCAGCAATTTAACCTACTCATTAATTACATCACCTAAAGCCTACTTTCACTGTACCTTCCCAGCCCACAGCCAATAACGCAGGCACGTTGTGCTTCGTCACGAACTTTTCCTCTATTACCATTTGCGTGGCTGTCACAATCTGAGCTGCAATGATCAGCAGATCCCCTGCAATACAAAAGGAAAGATTTAATGTAACAGAACCACAGTATTCTAAATGACAACAGGTCCTTAAGCTATCAATGGTAGTAATCAACAGAAAAATTAAGGAATTTACATTATTATGACAATACTGTATACTGTTTTCAACAAGCATCTCAAAATTAGGGAAAAAGCAGTAGTTTAATAAGCAAAATTGTATATGTATAATCTAGGTCTTCTACAAGTTTCCTAATTAAAAAAAAAGGTAAAAATGCTAGACATTCTATTTTTATTCCTCAATATTATAAACGTTCCAAGACCCATAAAAGAACTATCTGGGAAGCCAACATGTTCATTAAGCCTTCAGAGGGTATAACGGTTATCTGTAGAGATAAAGGTGCAATAGTTATTGGTAGAATTGAGTGTAATACTGTAGATGATAGAAAAGTGCCAATGATGTAAAGATAATCAATTATCTTACTTGAAGATAATGCTTTGCTTGCAAGAGCTTTTATCAGGCAAAAATCTCACTTAGTGAAATCTAGGATTCTAGGAAATCTAGGAAATCTAGGATCTAATTGGCGTTTCTCCACCAAATTTTACGCCGAAGTAGAGTTGACAATAGAATCAGAGTTTAGCCTGACCACATCCACACCGATACATTTGGAACATTTGCTCTAAAGCCTGAGAACTAACATGTCTTGTGTTGTAACATAGTATACTTCTTACAACTTGGATATAAGTATACTTATACTTGGTTGCCATACAACACTCCCTATTATAACCCAGAGCTGCAATGACCATCAGTGTGGCCAATCAACATCAGGATTCAAGCGAGAATTTACGCATCACTTACGAAACCTGTACATCTTCCCCTCAATCACGGTGGCTTAGTTGGCTTTTATTAAACGCTTTACAAGCTTTGAAATGCCGAGAGGTCATTTTTGACCCAAGGTTATTATTGTTAGAAAAACCTCATAGCACTTCGGAGCTCAAACCGTGTAATAAATGCCAACAAAGCCACCACAACTGAGTAAAGACACACAGGTCTCTGAAGTGAACATGCCTGATGAATCCTGGCCCTACTTCGACCTGGTTGAACTTTTCTTATAAACATTAAAAAAGCATAACCGACATTCTTTAGAAGTATACAAAATAGATGAAAGGGTATAATGAGAGAATTTGTTAAGGCTTTAAATACAAAAAAAAAAAAAAGAATTAAACAATGGATACAAATTGAATGAGTTTAAATTCAAAAGAAGATCTTAGTAAATACTGCAGGTGATGAGTCACAATAACATGGCTGAAAGATGTTGACCAGACCACACACTAGAAAGTGAAGGGACAATCGACTTGAGAGTGGTCCAGGATGGACCGAAACGTCGTCGTCTCTTCACTTTCTAGTGTGTGGTCTGATCAACACTTAGTAAATACTGTTTTGGAAAAATTTATTTATGGAACAAATTACGTACTAGGCAACATACCAGATGCAGTATCATTCGATTTTTCAAATGAAAGGCAAACATATACAGTACAGCATATTAATTACTTACCTGTAATAATGCCGTTAAGAGTGTAGCCCTCACTCTCGTTGCTGCCCACAAAGTCGGAGACGCCAACAATAACCAGACCCATTATGACAACTATCATGCCAATCCATTGATAGTATCTCAATTTACGTCCCAAAAAGGCTACAGACAGAAGCCCAGTAAACACAATAACCGCACCTGGCGACAAAGAAAAACTGTTAACTTCCTTTTTTTTTTTTGGTTCACAGAATAAAATTAGAATAATAGAGAAATCAAACACTTTTCCTACTCAAAAAAAAAAAAAAAAAAAGAGTAATTATTAGGGTAAAGAATAGGTATCCATTTCAAATGGGAACTTGTACTGTTTACTTAGAACAGCATTTTTCAACCATTGTGCCGCTGCACACTAGTGTGCCGTGAAGGGTCCACAGGAGTGCCCCGGGAGTTTGAGGGAAGGTAAAAAAATAACAGCAATTCATAGGAAAAAATTTGAACATTAATTTTAAGAACCAATCTTATGAAATCTATGATAAATATTTTTAAACCATAACACCAATTAGAATCTTAGCTATTAAACACAATCTTAATAACTAGTTTTTATATAAGGCTTATCCTTAAAAAAATTATGGTTCATCTTAATTTCACCACCTTGTTCAGTGTGTCACGAGTTGAAAAAGGTCGAAAAGCTCCGACTTTGAATAATCAAATCAAACCTCAGAAATTTAATCATAAGAAATTTAAATTAATTAATAACTAAAATTGTCAGATTTATTCAACATTGAAAGTCCTGCAAAACTTTTGTTTCAAAATCTGAATACAGCTGTCCAGTGACTACATATTTTATTGTTGTCTAGACTTTACAAATAAACACCGACCTCTCAACATCTGAAATGAACTGGCATACGTCAGTGTGAGGCCGAGATACATGGTCGACGTCGCTAGGGTGTCACACATGGCTGGCACAAAGAAGATTACCACTGGAAACCGAGGAGTCTACAGGGAGAAAGGAGAAGAGAGCAATAAATTAATGCCGAGACTTAAATAACATTTAATTAATGTCGTTGCATTTTCCATTGTTTTTGGCAATACAGATATTTAGCTTCTTTAGCATTTTATTTATATAAAACAGCAAAATGGAAAACACAGAATTACATATACTGTACATATACACCCATACGGTAACTTTGAAAATCTGGATTATGTTTTCTAAACCAGATAAGGATTTCTGATTATTTAACTTTTGGGGGACTAATTAGCACAAACATTTTGAGAGCTCTCTTATAGCAACACACCTTTCTGTGTATCTAGACAATAAAAACCTTCCTTTGAAAACACGAATTATAATTCTAACTGTTTGAGGGTCCCGACATGGCACTAGTCTTACTCGAGGGATCTGCACTTTACTTCGAAAGATCCCTGCTGTGCTACTGAAGAATGTAGACTTGCCCTGACTGAGCACGATCTTAACCATGGAACCAAATAGGAGCTTGTGCTGCAGGAAGTAACCAAGTAGGATTGTACCCAATTGTACCTGGATGAGATTATACGAGTTGTTCTACTCCCAAAGTCCAGCCCAGGGTCAGGCCTGACTAGTGAGAACTTGACCCAACAAGCTGTTGCTTGGAGTGGCCCACATATCCACTACAACCCTGTTGGTCTGGCACTTCAAGAAAAAACTGGACAGTTTTCTGAAAGAAGAAAACTTTTTTCCATAAATATTTCTTGTACAGTACTTGCTGGGAGGATACTGAACAACCATGGACCTCTGACGTTCATAAAGTATTCTTAGATTGTGCCTATGCCACCCCTATTCTCCACTGGCTTTATTCTACCTTTCTTTTCATATTGTTCACTACAGTATGTTACTTTACACTGTTTAGGAGTTGTATTGTGTTTATGCATGCCATGCATGTTCTCTGTATGCCCTCTATTTCAGCAAAGTGGGTTCTTTTTCTTATTTTCAGCTAAGAAACACATTTCAAACAGACTTTATATACTTCAGAAGTCAGTTGATCTATTCCATGCATGGGACTTATTACCTAGAACGGTTTTCCAATGAATGTAAATGCCATGCTTAATTTTTTCCCGGTCTATCTTCTTATTATTAAAGTTGTATTGAATAACCACTTTAGTGCTTTAGGTAGTAACCAAGCAGAATAGTTCAGAAGCATGATGAAAAACCCAAACCATGAGAATATCATAAGGCAATGAATCCTACCAGATGTATCTTAACTAGGTAATAACACAACCGCAGCCGACATTACTCACCTGGTCATTGGTTGGCGACATTTCTACTTGTCCCTGCCGCTGACGTCGTTCGTAGTGATACATAATGTAGAAAGTCAACATACCTGAAAAATAAGTTATTGTATCATGGCTGGAGTCAGTAAATGAAAACCCCATTAGACAATGTGTCTAACATGAGGTTAGAATTTATCAACTACCGAATACATAATTTATTACAAATCAAGATATTTTGACTGTGGCGAAACAAAGTATCCATGGGTGGTATACCCTGGAATGTGAACACTGGTACTGTAGCAGCATTATGAACAAACTAACTTAAAACATAAAAAGATAATTATGAAGTGTAGATAGCTGGACATTTGCAAGGTTTAATCCAAAGCTTTTTTTTTTTTATAGATACTGTATAATGCATTATACAAAGATTAGGGGAAAAAGTTGACCACTGAAAATGAACGATTCAATTTACAGATACAGTATTTTATTACAGAAATGTTCTACAAGTGTTGGAAAGTAGAGTATAATATACATTATAATACAAATTTTTATACTAGAGAAATTCATTTAAAAATGGGCGATATAACTAAGAACAATAACCGATGTTAAGGCAATAATCTGGTGGCATGCACACACTACAATGGCATTCTTTAACAATGTTACTCACATAACATTTCTCCTATAAACATGCCATCCGTCTGGAAGTATGGATGAACAAAAGGGGCATCTACACCTGCACTATTGACTGCTGTCATTTGATCTGCCAATCTGAAATGTAGTACAAATACAGGCTGTAAACAAACATTGGCTTTCAAAGAAAAGAATTAATATAAAGCTGGGATGTACAACAGGGTGTGATAGAAGGGATTGAGCTCAAATTTCTGGAAATACCAAGAAAACACACACACTATCGTATAATAATGCACTTTCACATATAACACTGTTAATGACATACATGGGGCTCTTGATTTGTGCTAATGGTCAGTTCCTGCAAATAGTGTTAACAAAATTATCAAACTTTAACCCGTCAAAATGCACCCAGCATCAATATTGTCACTTTCCCTGCGTGGATGGGGGAGGGGGGAACAAATCTATGTCTTCTCTGGTTTAACTGAAGCCAAAGCCAGGTGGCAAAGTCGTTTTGTTTTTCAATGCCAAACATGAAGGATGTCTGTAACAATATGGGATACGAGGACTATGTTCACCTTGGATGATTTTATGAATACCTTCACTTATCTAACATAAACAGTGTGTAAATTGACCAAAACAAAGATCGAGTGCTGTATACAGTATAGACCTACAATATAATTTGTACACCTATTGCACAAATATCTGCTCAAGAGATCAGTTCAAAGAAAGTGTCTTTCAGCCCACTTTCTCTGGGAAAGTTGTCCAGGCAGGTGTTTAAATACTGGCAGGGGAGACATTCATCCTTTGCCAATAACCACATGTCCCTATAGTAGGGAATTGCAAAACAATATCAGATTTTTTCCATGGGTCTTTGTTAACTCCATCACATTCTTAATTCCCATTAGTCCATTAGTTTTAGCGAGGTCCCTCTATGCCAACTACTGACCTTCCCAAAGATGCAACCCACAACAGCTAATTCCTCAGTACCTATTTACTGCTGGGTGAAACCTTGTCCAAATGCTTCCGTCGTGCTGCAGAAATTAAATCCAGGATCTTTCGGCTGTTACCCAACTGCACTGTCTAGTGGTATAAAACCACGCCATAATAACTAATCTCAATTTAATGAGAAATTAATGAGTTCCTACACCTTTCCAGTCTCCAGACATTAATAATTATTCATATATGTTAAGGTAATGATGGAGGTCTAGGTATGAATACAGTACAATGGAACTACAATAGATACAACCAAGCGGGACTAGATTTAGCCCAATCTTTCATGCGTTAATATCTACTGGCCAGTATTAAGGCTCATACAGTTACCCTGTATTTTGAGGAATTTCGTACTGTAATGATAGAACACAAATCACACATACAAAAATACATTACAAAATAACTAATACCAATCATCCATAAAATAGTCATCAGTAAGAACTAACTAGATGAAAAAATCTCCAATACCAAATGTATTCAAGATGGTAGTCGAGCCTACCAAACGAACGTATAGTAAACACAAACTACTGTCTGCAAGCTCATGGATTACATATCACAGCTGTAAAGCTATGTATATTCAGTAAAACTCCTCAATGCCAAGGTCTCATTGTAACTAATCACAATTATGAGCTGTTTTCTGCATTAGTAATCTCACAGTAAGTAGATGTACTCAACACAACTGATAAGTCTGATAATCTATTATCAGTAACACTTATTATGACTAAAATGACAATTCAAGGAACTATAGTACCATGAAACTATAAAGACTAATGAAGTTTATGGGAGTAAAAATAAAAAAACAGATCAGAAAACAAAAGTGACCAAATACCATATTGAGGATGGTTACCAGAATGTAGTCTATCGAGAAGGCTTAATGCAAGTAATTTAGGTAAATTACATTGGATGCAGATGGTAGTTTTTATAGCAGAGTCAAAGTAGCTATCTACACTGGTTGACAATTTCATTAAGGTGTATGAAAGGTGTCTTAAAGAGTTAATGTGGACATAAGAAAAGTTATATTGAGGAGTGAGAAGAAAACAAATAAATATGGGAGATAAGTGCTGGAAGTTATCAGGTTTAAATACCAAACATTTGCAATCAAAGTTGAGATTAGGGTCAGGGTAGAAAAGCAGTTATTGCAGTGAAAGGACTGGTTATGAAAACCTAGACAGGAATAGATGCAACAAAAAAGTCTGTATGAAGGAGTGACGGTACCTAATCTGATGCAAGGTTACGAGACGATGTGGTATGAACGTGAAAAATCAAGAGTCAGAACAGCAGAAATGGTTTATATCTGATAAGTGATGTTAGAATAAAATAAGGAATGAAAATTAATGGCAAGATGTGGAGTGTAAATCAATAAACTGCAAGACTGAGGAGAGTACAGCATACAGGGGTGGTTAGTAAAAGTCGATTGAATGGAAGATGACAAACTGGCGAAGACTGTATCCAAGTGGATTTGAGAATGAAAAAAAAAAAAAAAAAGAGTTCATCTCCTTAAAAATAATGTGATGTACGTATGTCATTATCAGTCGTGGAGCCAAGAAGAATGTGAATGGACATAGTGAGCGAGGATGTGAATTGGGGGCCGAGTGGTATAGAATAACAATGCGTGGTAGCATTTAGCAAGAAGGGTACATAAGACATTTATTTGCCTGCAATATAACTATACATCGACAATTCACGAGGAGCACTGTGTACCTGATCTAACGAAGTGGTCAACCTCTGGACTATGGTAGTTCTTATTAATCAATGATGTTATATATTGCATTGTGAATGATTAGCCTATAATGAATGGAAGAGATATTTTCAATATTTGTTATTTATATCCAACTTCCTTTTACTATGCACAGAAATGTCACAATAACATGGTTCAAACAAATAATCCACACATACAGTATATGAAATGAAATTAAAGTTTCATACAATGTTTCAGTCCATCCTAGACTCTTATCAAGTCCTAACTTGATAAAGAGTACAGTCTTGGGAAGACCAACGTGTCGTCACATTCATTTCATTTCACACACGAGAGTTGGGTTGTTTATTTTACTATATTGCTCATCTTTTTCTCTCCAGTCTCCCCACACCATGAAAGTAGAAAATGGGGGTAATAAAAATATGTCTACGTATGCATCTTTGTACCAATTGCAAGTGAAAATAGTAAAAGTACCCCATAGGATTGAAGCATATTTAAAAAATTTGGTACAGCTAATCTTGATAATTTGAGATACCACTCAAGGTCTTCCCGATCCTAATGTGTTAAAATGGTTTAAAAAATCTGCCACCATAAGACTACATGGCTCAATAACTCTGGTCCCTGTGATAATTATCTGTGTGGTTGAAAAGCTTAAATCTTAAAAATTACTATATAGTCTGTACCTAAGAACCCCAAAACACAATCAAAGCCCAGTAGATGCTTATCAAATGTCAAGTGTTTTGTTAGGGCAAGACCCTCCATGACTGATAATACATTGCTGGGAAATGATAACTATCTCTTATTTCTTTGTAAGAGTTCCATATTGTACTGTAACAGAAACGTTGCAGGCTGTTGAATAATAACTGTGCCGGTTTTGAAATCCCAAAAGCTAAATGCCTTGCTATGATTCCTAGACCTAACCCACACAAACTTTTGGCAATCTTGAGGTTATCTTGAGAAGATCTCGGGGCTTTTTAGTGTCCCCACGGCCCGGTCCTCGACCAGGCCTCCACCCCCAGGAAGCAGCCCGTGACAGCTAACACCCAGGTACCTATTTTACTGCTAGGTAACAGGGGCATAGGGTGAAAGAAACTCTGCCCATTGTTTCTCGCTGGCGCCTGGGATCGAACCCAGGACCACAGGATCACAAGTCCAGCGTGCTGTCCGCTCGGCCGACCGGCTCCCGTGCAATGTTGATAAATACAAGACAGTGAGATGATAACATCCACTTCAATAATCTTATTTGGGCAAGAATCTACTGGAATTGTAACAAAGTACAATTCACTCAAAATAGTCATCTTCCACAGAAAAATAAAAACTTTACTGCATTGAAGCTTTGGGCTTTTCATATTTTTTATGTTCATTGTTATCAAAAAGTGTATTAGTGAGATTGATTCGATAGATTTGTTGCTAAATGCTAACTATACCAGAATCCTTTAAGCTCATACAATTTTTCCGAGCTCCCTTTGAAAGGGAATGCATTGTTGGCTATAAGCCTAGTAATAATTTAGTCTTTTTTCAGTACATTACCCAAAAAATATGACTTAAAACCTAAATGTAAGTTCACATATACTGTAGTATATATTGTATGTTAATCCTAAAAAAAAAAAACTTGCTAATAAGTAGATTATACAATATTGTACCATGCCAGGGATTTACACAGGCAGACCGGTACCCAAAGAAATTAATAATATTCAAAAAGGAATGGCAGCAATATACACAGGTATTACCAAAGTAAGTAATTATCAAAAGAAGGCACCAAGCCAGAGGTAATACCAAAGTTATCAAATACACCATCACTACCCACTTTTACCCCCCTTTCATGCATTGGATAGGTATCAGCTTTGAATAGGGAAGGAGGAGAAATAAATTATTTGTTATATCTTCTACACTACATACTGTACTGCATCATAATGTAGTTTGCACAAAAAACACTATCACCCTTCAGAAATATAAGCACAGCATAACCCTATTTCTTCATATAACGTTTTGTGCAGTGCTTCCCATGTTGACATTTACAAAATATGTGCGAGATTCACTATTAGGCTTATTAATTAATATAATTCATTGTATTGGGGGACAGGCAGCCAGTGTATATATACATGTCATGCTTATATCAAGGTCCCCCTTCCCAATGTCGAACTACTAACCCATGCCAGAAATGCAACCCCACAATTAGCTGACTAACTCTTGGGTACCTATTTACTGCTAGATGAGCAAGAGCATTAGGTGTTAGGAAATTCCCCCAACCATTTTTGTACCCACCCAGGATTTGATCCCAGAATTACCGACTGCGAGTCGAGAACGAACCCAACTCTATTATCAAGTATACTTGGAGTGGGTTCTGTGAATTATTATATCCAAGCCCAGCCTAGACCAAGGCTTGACTTGTGATAACTTTGTCCAAGAAGCTGTTGCTTGTAGCAGTCTATTCCATCTAGCCCTATTCTCTACCCATTCTGAATTGCACAGTGCCCCATTAGCCCATAGGCCTATCCATATATAGTGAAATAAAAAGGAAGATATTCCACACAAGAATGAAATCTGTATACATATCATTAGTATAAATTTACAGACAAAAAAATATCTGCCCATTATATAATTTTATTTACACCTACTCCAATTTGGCCTCCCTCCTTGCACCCTACCTTCAAGTTCACTCGAGTACACCATCAACTACTATCCCCATCCATTTAATGACAACAGTACAGTATTTAAACTCACCTCAATCTAATGATAGATTAACTATTGTGCTTACTATGGCATTTGCATTCCATACTGTCAAATAACACTACATGTGCACCTTGTATAAATAAAAACTATAATAATTTTAATCTTTTATCAGTCAAATCCTTTGGCATTTTGAAATAATATACCTTCTAAGAAAGTATCCAGATTTAGTAGCAATTTAAAAGTTTCTACTACAATTTTAAAAAGCTGAATTTGTTTTTTACAAAGTTTAATTATGAATTTTAAGCAAGTTGGAAAATAGACGTGACCTGATACCTTTAACAACTCTGGTGCATATTTTGCTTATTTACCATACTTAAGTTACATCCAGTAAATAAAAAATTTCCTTAAGGAACTACAACTTATTGATAGGTTGCAGTCTAATCCCCAAAAACAAATCTAAGAAAAAATTACTGTCTACAGACAGATTTTAAGCTGCAATACTCCTTCACCTTTCTAATTACTCCCCAAATACGCACCAAGGACACCCTATTTCTGTTTCAACGCCCAAACCTTGTGGATATTAAAAACCGTCCCTACCAGTAAACAGTTATTAATTATCATCCTCCCAATCCACGTCAGGGGCAGCAATAGCCAGCTGCGAGTAATATGACACAAGACCACATGACCACTGTGGTCTAGGAAGCCAACAATGAAACAAGCCTCTACCAACTTCCTGAAACAAACAACGCCTATTAAATTAACCGCACTTACTTAGTCGAGAGGGTATTAATGGAGCCCGTTACGACCATCAAGAGGGCCAGCAGCACTTGCTTGGTGGTCCAGGCCATGGTTGAGACGGGCGAACAGGGTAATGAGAAGAAGATAAGGAGGAGAGCGAGAGTTTGACGTGTGGCGGCTCGACCCTGACTGCCAATCTTGTGGTGGTCGCTTCCTCTCCGTCGCCGTCCTCACCTCCCGCCCCACACCAGGGCGCTTCGTATCCGAATTTGGGGCAGATAACACATTACACACACACAAAAAAAGTATATATATACTCAAAAATTGGATAAAGCTGAAATCAAAGGTTCACTGTTTCCATAAATTGTGATTGCATCCCTACAATATTCAGTTACAAAGTTATTGATATATTGATATATATTGATTGTTACTAGCTCTTTCTTCAAATCCAACATTATGTTTGTAACTCATCTGCAATGTATATACCTTTACCTGAATAAAGAATCTGAATCTGAATCTGAATAAAGTGTTACACTTATATATATCTCGTATCCATAATGCCAACCCTAAAACCAATTAGGGACGACCGGAGCAAATGCGGAAGATTAACACACAGTTAAAGCGTGAATGAATCAATCAGCCATTGGTAATGTGCGGTGCATATTGTATTCCGTTTAAGTATAAAAGTTGCAAAATATACAGTTTCTATAGTGAATATTTAAGAACGATGGTAGGTATGATGTATCAGTGCCAGCAGGGTACAGGGAGCCTGCCTGCCATGTCCGCCCTGGCAACGCCCCATCCTGCTGGTCCACAACCTATCATATTACAACAAATCATAATAACAATATAAATATTAATTTTAATTAAAATATACAGCATAACATGAATACAGAATAATATAGTAACATGAGGCAGTAGTTTCAATTGTTTTTTTAATTTTGAATACAGAATAATATAGTAACATGAGGCAGTAGTTAATTAGCTGTTATATAATTGATTTAAAAAGCCATAGTAGACAAAGCCATATGTCGAATTGTTTGCATTCACATTAATTATTGATCTGAATACAATATACATTTCCATCAATTTAAACAAAAATATCGTCTATATATGCGTTTTTAAGCATGGGGGATATATAAATTATGCCATATAAATGACCTGAAAGCTGTGACAAAACTTTGTATAACAATATACAGGTCGTGACGAGGGACACATCTTACATATATGGAACATGAAAGTCAGCTAGCTGCTCGACGCAAACCTTTGATGCTGAAGTGGCATCTCACCGGGATACAGCAAGCATAACAATACAATATTATGTCGCATATTATATATTATATATATCTTCTTCCAGGAAGCAACCCCCACAACACGCTGACTAATTCTTATGTACCTATTTACTGCTAGGTGAACAGGTTCATTAGGTGATCAGAAATGCGCCCAATTATTTCTGTCCCGCCCGGGACGTATATGTATATAAATATATGCAACAACGACCACGAAAACACTGATAAAATATTTAATTCAGTATTTGTTTTGGGTTTCTCAATCCACGCCACGACCTTTAGCCGGATTTCTAAGGACGACAACGGCTCATATCCGGCCATCCTGACTCAGCGAGGGGAGCCAAAGACCTGAGCAAACGCACACATGTACCTCTCTACGTCATCTCTTCACTATAAGCAACCGTAACCTAACCTAATCTAACATAACCTAAACCAACAGAACCTAGCCTAACCTAACCTAATCTAACATAACCTAAACCAACAGAACCTAACCTAACCAAATTCCGACAGAACCTAACCTTAACAAACCTAGCCTAGCCTAATCTAACCCTGATGGAACTTGACCTAACCTAAACCGACAGAACCTAACCTAATCTAAACCCCTAGAACCTATTGCGAATTAAATTTCGGTGCATCTCAGCAGAGATATATTCATGGTTTAAAGCTTAAATTAAGGTTGATAACGTTGAATTAGGGTTGACAACGTTGATTCAACGTTGAATTCTAGTTGATAACGTTGATTCAACGTTGAATTAAGGTTGAAAACGTTGATTCAACGTTGAATTAAGGCTAATAACGTTGATTCATCGTTGAATTATGGTTGATAACGCTGATTCAACGTTGAATTAAGGTTGATAACCTTGATTCAACGTTCAATTAAGGTTGATAAAGTTGATTCAACGTTGAAATAGGGTTGATAACGTTGAATTAGGGTTAATAACGTTGATTAAACGTTAAATTAAGGCTACTCTGTGCCCACCGCACGTAGAACTTCTATTATGCGTGTGTAAACATTGATAAATATAGAATAAATTGAGAATAAATTGCAAACTGAGAATATACTGCATCGTGTAATGTAAATTGCATGTAAACTGAGAATAAATTGCATCGTGTAATTTAGTATACGAATACGCTTATCACATTTCGAATTAATTTTACATAAATACAAATTAATATAAACATTGTACATGTATTTATAATAAATTATATTATTATAACAAATCCTCATAGGATCAACGTAGAAAGCAAGAGATGAGATTACAAGAGTGTAGTAACATAACCTAAGACTGTAAGACTAGGCTAAGACTAAGACTGTAAGATTAAGATCGTATAATTAAGTCTGTAAGACTAGGAGTACAAGACTTTAAGCCTGTAAGATTGTGGTCGAAGACTGAAACTGTGGTCGATGGAAATACCCATCCCGTAATAATGACTCTACATTATCTACTATCTACAATATCTACTTATCACCAAGTTATCCAGACGCCATTATCACAGAGATACACTGTGGTAAGTGTAGGGACCTCTCATATGTGTAGCTGTTGGTCGTCTCTGCCACCCATAATACTTGCATGGGGCTGGTCCTGTTGACCCATACGAGGCAGCTCCTATTGACCCATACGAGGCAGCTCCTATTGACCCATACGAGGCAGCTCCTATTGACCCATACGAGGCAGCTCCTATTGACCCATACATAAGAATATAAGAACAAAGGTAACTGCAGAAGGCCTATTGGCCCATACGAGGCAGCTCCTATCTATAACCACCCAATCCCACTCATATACTTGTCCAACCCGCGCTTGAAACAATCGAGGGACCCCACCACCACGTTACGCGGCAATTGGTTCCACAAATCAACAACCCATACGAGGCAGCTCCTCTCTATATACACCCAAACTCATTCATATATGTCTAACCTACGCGTGAAACAATCCAGCTATCCCACATCTGTTGTGTTACCAGATAATTTGTTCCATAAATCAACAATTCAGTTTCCAAGCCAGTATTTTCCCCAGGTCTTTTCTGAATCTAAAAGAATCTAGTTTGTATATTGGTATCCACTGTTTCGTGTTCAATTTTGTGATTGCACGCAATCAATTGTGATCATTTTCTTGACGTTGTGAAACCTTAGGAGAACGGGGCTGCACTGTGTTTGATGTGTTGACACTGAAGAACAACATATGGTTAAGAGATTATTGACATTTAGGGGGGTAGAAATAGCCTAAGCTACTCTATCCCTTTGAGATGTATTTCTTTCTTATCTCAATAAACATACTTGAACTTGAATTATTGACATTTTCCTAGGCTGTAAACAACAACAATTGACTAACTCCCCCCTGACCTGTGAGTACCCAGTTACTGATAGGTGAATAGAGGCATCAGGTGTAAGGAACGTATTGGAATCTCTCGTCGTGCGCGGGACTTGAACCAGGGACCTCACGGTTGTGACCTAACTGCACTAACTACTAAGGGCTGAGATAAGAGGACGGATCACCGGGAATCGAACGCCGACCCTCAAGAAGTGAAGCCGTCCTGTACCAAACAGTCCAAGGGAAGTTATCGGGACGTATAAGAATGTATTAACAAACTCACAGGATCTGAACGTGCAACTTTGGGCTAACTTATAAACTGCTGAGAAGAACTTTAACGATTATTAATTACATCAATTACGCAATTAAGACAATAACTAGAAATTAGCTATGGCAACGTTACCGTTAAGGTAAGGTGCAGATGTATAATAATAATAATAATAATAATAATAATAATAATAATAATAATAATAATAATAATAATAATAATACAGCCTAATAAGGAGCCATTACGGAGAGCAATTACAATGATCACATAAAGAGTATCTAAACACCTTATAAAGTCACTGATCAGCCTCAACGTTCTGGGCTAAATGGAACTATAAACCGAGAAGTGTATCTTGAGGTTATCTTGAGTAACTTATCTTGAGAGTGTAACCCGCTCTCGGTGAATATAATCTCAGCGTTAATGTAGTTTACTGTAAGTTACTCTTACGGGCTATTCATGCCCGTGCCACCTTTTGGGTGGTTTAATCTTCATCAATCAGCAATCTGTTCTTGATTGTCCGTTGATTAATGTCTATAGAAACACTGAGATAAGGGCTCTTCCTGAACAAATAGCCTGGATGTGTCACAACGGAAAGGTTGATGATATTCTTGAGAGATATAAGAATTTTGCACCAAGACTGAAATCTTTTGTTGAATTATTTGCATGCCTCTTGCAAATTGTCTATACAGTATACCTCGGTCATAAAAGTATTTATGTGTACGTCTGATACCATTCTACTTGTGTAATGGAGGAAATGTATATGTTTATCTCTCAGAATGTTCGGTAATATGTTTATTGTTTGTGATGTGTGTCTATGTATGTATTAACACGATGTACTGAACGGGGTGAGAATAGCTTGAGCTACCTCATCCCTTTGTGTGTATTTTACCTCAATAAACTTATTTCAATTTCAATCATCAATCTGTAGTCTCGCTCATATGCCAGGTAAGTCCACTACGGGCTCACCATAGCCCGTGCTACTTGGAACGTTTTGTTCCGAGTGACTGAATCTACAACAACAACAGCAAGTAGTCCTGAACTACTGTATCATTATCAGAGTTGTAGGAAGGGTGAGTCAGAGCGCCGCGTGTGAGCGCCCCACCACAACAATGCCGCCCGCAAGTCCGCAGTCAATGTCCTGAGGCCGGGTTTATCATACGATGTTGACGGGGGGGCTTGCATGGAATATATATATATATATTCATTAAATACACGTCACACCATATCTAACAAAGGCAAAGAACTGAACTAGCGCAAATTTCAAACACTATTACAACTGCTCAGACAAAAAGCATCGTGCTGGAGCAGCCGATACAACAGCAGCAAAGGCACGATAACCAAAGGGGGCGTTGCTGGCAGGGAGACTAGCTTGTGTGAGAGATACAGGGTGGGTGTGTGAAGGTAGGCACACGCACCTCTGGTTAGATGACACCGGTACTCTGCTGGAGGTTGGCACTCCATCTTCCTGCTTCTGCTAGTGCTGCATTAACGTCAGGTACTACTCCTGTATTCGGTGTCACCCTAGATGAAGGATACAGTTACTGAGGACATGCAGGCACCGTGGGACGCATTGCTGCCGGATACCATTACAACGTTGATTACAGGAGTCTTGGAAGGCAAACAGTGTTCCTGCTGAAACCAATTGTCCGAGGGACTGTGTTGGTTATTGTCTTCGGCCCAGTTCCTTGCTGCCATGTTACCGATCTTGCTACACACATCATCGCCCTGGACACTGATCTCCACTACCATCAGATACCTCCGGTGCTGGTCTGGGGAAGTGTATCATCCTCTGAAACCAGTTCTCTTAAACATCACTCATCGCTAGTTTGGTTTTATGTGCAGGCGATGAGTCACAATAACGTGGCTAAAGTATGTTGACCAGACCACACACTAGAAGGGACGACGACGTTTCGATCCATCCTGGACCATTCTTAAGCCAATTGAGAATGGTCCAGGACGGACCGAAACGTCGTCGTCCCTTCACCTTCTAGTATGTGGTCTGGTCAACATACTTTGGTTTCATATTTCTCAATTTGTGCAACTTGAACAAAACACCGGCATTTGATCCACTTGCTCTGCCCATCTTCTTGCTTCCCTTGTTTTTGTCCTTTCTCTTTGCTGCCACAACTGCAGTCTCCACAGCAAGCTTTAACGACGGTCATAATCAAGACAATCACCCCAACAACGTCCTGCCCAAAGAAGGAATCGACTTTCCAACACTACATCCGTCCATTAAACCCTTAAACCGCGCAATACATACATATACGATTGGAGTAGCTGTCACGAAATCGTGCACATCGTACATATACGACTGAGGGTCTAGAGCACGGGTTTTAAATGCCCCGCGAGGGATAGGGGCAGCTAAAGTCCAGCCAAGGCCGATAGTAAACAGATGCCATATTACAAAAAATTGTGTGTAATATATTCGGATGTGAGAGGATCAGTACTCAGTGAGCAACCAAGGCTGGTGCATGCAGCATGAGCTAACAGCACTGCTGTTCAGCTTGTGAACACAGCATCGCATAAAAATGTAACAATATATATGAACCTGTTATTATTTAGTGATGATAGTATTAGAGAAGATCCCTGACCGTGATAACAATGACCAGGATTCTGATAAATAGCAGGATTGTGGTGGTAATTAGCGCTGTGCCCTATGGTGGGAGGAGTAATGCTGAGGGAGGGTGGGAGATGGCGTCGTCTTCTGACTGCGTGTGGCCACCTTTTATTGTCTGGACTCACAATACCAGGTTAGTGATTCACTATGGTGAACACAAATGTAGATACTTATATGTAACGTGTGTAATAACAGCAATAGGAGTATGTTGGGAGCAGCCATTTTGGTGAGGAAGGTGGCGTCGTCCACATGACATTAAATTTAAATTTCAATAGACTTGCCCCGAGGGGCAAGTCTATTGGGACATGTCATGCTGTGTACAGGTGACCCCTATGCTCTTTAGGCACCATACCAGCTTAGTTGTATAGTTATGGTGAATAAAACATGTAGATACTTATATATAATGTGTGTATATAGTGTAATAACACCACAAACAATATTGTTGGAGGAGGAATGTTTGTTTGGCCTTGAATGAGTGAGGGAGCGTTAGTTGATTGTGTGGTGACTTCTGTTATTGCCTGAACTCGCCATATCAGCTTAGATGTACAGTTATGGTGAACAAAACATGTAGATACTTATATAACATCTATATATAGTGAATAGAAGCAAAAAACAGTATGGTGGGAGGAGAATGTTGGCGAGTGAGGAGGTGAGGGAGTGGCAGCCGGTGGCTGACTGGCTGGTGTGTTGAGGCTTCCTCGTTGCTGTTTGACTCACTATACCAACTTAGTGGTTCGTTATGGTGACCAAAACATGCAGATACTTATATATAACCTGTGTATATAGTGTAACAACAGCAAAACTATTTGTTTATTGTTTTATGAACATAATAATTGAATCACTATGCATATAATAATTTTGAGTATAGTAATGGTTCACACATTTTATTATATAAATATATCACACTAAACACACTACTGAATAATATTACTGCAAAAAACTAAGAAAAAATCAGTCAGAGACATTGAAATAATTAGGTAATAATATCTTTGTGGCAACTCCCGCCTGACAGCTGGGGCAGCGCTGACCGCCTCTGGTGCTTACTGTCAACACCTCTTGTTTGCCAGGTTTTCCCGCCCAATTGCGGCCAAAATATGTCACCTACGATTTTTTATTCTTTTTCCCGTGATCAGGGAACACAAATGAACACTTTTATAAGACGAAATTTTTTGTGTGTGCCTGGCGGTGTTGTAGACCAAAAAGCCCTTAGCGGTTCATAATTAAAGGGTTAAATGATGAAAAAAAATCTATGTGAAAACTGCAAGACTCTTTTACGAGAATCCTTCAATGAAGAACTCCTCTTCCTTCTTTCCCAATACAGTAAAGACTGGCACCCGTCCGTTATCCTGCACTAAGAAAGAAGCCTCTGAGACGCGACACTGAGCAGCATCCTACCTCTAGGAAGGATCTCCCTCCCAACATACACTATTACAAGCCTATGAAGCACGCTCAAAACTAACTCCGATCGTGAAGAGGGCCTCTAGTTGCGACTAGACAGGTTCAAGGAGTCCCCGTTCTCTGAGGAACTAGGTGGAGATGGCGTGGACGAGCAAACAGCTCCTTCTGGCTCTTGTCATGGTTGTCACAGGTTCCATCAACACACTCTCTGCCAAGTAAGTGCTCATTGGCGCTTGTACTTACTTACCTAATTGTGCTTGCGGGGGTTGAGCTCTGGCTCTTTGGTCCCGCCTCTCAACCGTCAATCAACATGTGTACAGGTTCCTGAGCCTATTGGGCTCTATCATATCTACACTTGAAGCTGTGTATGGAGTTAGCCTCCACCACATAACTTCCTAATGCATTCCATTTGTCTACTACTCTGACACTGAAAAAATTCTTTCTAACGTCTCTATGGCTCATTTGGGCACTCAATTTCCACCTGTGTGTTGTGTGTGTGTGTGTGTGTGTTTATGTGTGCACGCACGTCCTCATAGGCTCAATTGTTAGCATTTAAGTACATTTTTCTATATCTTGATTTCCTAATATTGTCCTACATATGAATGTGTGTTCATTGCAGGTGGGCAGATCGCATACAGTCTATCAACAGGAATGGGGAAAAGACCAATTTCAACCACCCGTTTTTCCAGGCAGATACAATGTTCATTGGAGAGATGCTTTGTAAGTGAAAGTGTTGTTGTTGTTGTTCAGTGGATACAGAACACTGGGACTGGTCGGTACAGCGACGGACTTGCTTCTTGCAGTTCGGCGTTCGACCCCCGATGGTCCAAGTCATTGGGCACTGTTCTTGCTCATCGAACTATTCCAGTCCCAATCCTCATATCCCTTCAGATTGATATACTGTCATATTGCAGAGTAATCTAGTGACTAGCCTAGTGTTCTCTTGTGACTAGCCTAGTATTCTCTTGTGACTAGCCTAGTATTCTAGTGACTAACCTAGTATTCTAGTGACTAGCCTAGCATTCTCTTGTGACTCAGGTACAGTGAACTTTCAGGTATGGTGACCTACTACCTACAACGCCTCGCCTTTCGCAGGACTCATCGTCACACCATAGAAATGGCTCCAGGGCACTATGAGGTGATCTGCCTGTATATATATATATATATATATATATATATATATATATATATATATATATATATATATATATATATATATATATATATATATATATATATATATATATATATATATATATATACACATCGATAACTCTAAGACTTTAAACCACCCCAAGTTAATAATAATAATATGACTATATTTAATCAAAATACTACTTAGCGTTTGAATTGTTTTGCATAGAGCAGTATGCATTTATATCGTGCTATAAAACCACCAATCTCACACACCTACAAATATTTAAATCCAAAATGAAGACCTAATTCCTATATCATGCACGGGTTGCCGTGTGGCAGCCTAGCAGTTACCCTCGGCTGGTCTTCTACCTGCCCGCCCTCTGTGACATGACGGCCACCTCCATGATGTTCGTGGGCCTCACCCTCACCTTCGCCAGCTCCTTCCAGATGCTGAGGGGTGGGTACTCCGTCTTTACCATCGCTCCTGTCTTAGGGCGTAAATTATGTTTACATTTGTTTCGGTATTTTGATTATCATAGCCGTTCCTCTCACTCGTGTGTGTGTCTCTCCCTCCCTTCGTCCACATCTCTAGGACGCCGCACCGCGCTAGGCTTCTTCTCTCCCCTCCTTTCACCTCTCACGACGTCCTCCGGTCTCTCCTGCAGGGGCGGTGATCGTGTTCACGGGGCTGCTCTCCGTGGCGTTCCTGGGACGCAGTCTCCGCTACTACCATTGGCTGGGCATCTTCACAGTCCTTGCTGGTCTGGTGGTCGTCGGCCTCTCTGACTTCATCAGTTCCTCCGAGGATACTTCTGATATTAACGGCATCATCACTGGTGAGAGAGAGAGAGAGAGAGAGAGAGAGAGAGAGAGAGAGAGAGAGAGAGAGAGAGAGAGAGAGAGAGAGAGAGAGAGAGAGAGAGAGAGAGAGAGAGAGAGAGAGAGAGAGTAGTATGGAGTACATAGATAAAGGAGATATCATAGGATCTTAGCCCACATACCGAGATTATCTGATAGGAACAGTTGCTACTGGTCCTGCTGCGGGTCCGTCTAGACACCCACGTTGTCGGGAGAGGAAGGCAGACAGGTCTTCTTATCCCTAACACCCTCACATTGCCCGCGGCAATAATAACTACATAATTGCCAGCATATAGTGAAGTACACTACATTCCTGGATATTTCAAGGAAAGAAATTAATAACTGTAACTAGTATTAATAAGGTCAGATGTAACACAAATAAGGAGCAACGGTTTCAAGCTCAACAAGCCACAATGTAGGACTGAGAAGAGATGTTTTTTCTCCCATAGAGTTATAAGCCCTTGGAACCGCCTACCCGCCGAAGCCGCAAATACCAAAACTATGTTACATTTTAAAATCCAGCTGGAAAAATATCATCAAGGCAAATGGTGGGGACTCTTGACAAGCCGCTGGTTTCCTGTCCTCGTCGAGGCCACCAGAGCGTGCGTTATACTGTAGTGAGCCGCCAGCCAGTGGTGGTCATCTGGACTAGTTACTCCAGTGTCTGGAGGTTGAACATTCTTGAAGATGTATTTGAACATTCTGCATCTGAAGGGTCGAACCTCAGCTTGAAATACACGTTGAAATAAACGCTAAAGAAGTGTATTATCTGATACACCCAAAGCTTATATATAGGATGTCTCTATAAGCTTCCCTCTCATATCTCGCAGTTCTATTGAAATTGAAATAAGTTTATTGAGGTAAAATACACACAAAGGGATGAGGTAGCTCAAGCTATTCTCACCCCGTTCAGTACATCGTGTTAATACATACATATACACACATCACAAACAATAAACATATTACCAAACATTCTGAGAGATAAACATATACATTTCCTCCTTTATACAAGTAGTATGGTATTAGACGTACACATAAATACTTTTATGACCTAGGTATACTGTATAGACAATTCGCAAGAGACATGCAGATAATTCAACAAAAAATTTCAGTCTTGGTGCAAAATTCCTATATCTCTCAAGAATATCATCAACCTTTCCGTTGTGACACATCTAGGCTATTTGTTCAGGAACAGTCCTTATATCAGTGTTTCGTTATACATTCATCAACGGACAATCAAGAACATAATGGGCAAGGGTGTGAGACCTTAACATACCACATAGTTTACACTTCGTGTCATTATCATGAACACCTATCCCATATTCCCAGTAACATTTGTACCCAAGCCTAAGCCGCATGTACACAGTCACTAAAACCATTTCTCCTTTTACCATAAGTGAAATGGGTGTTCTGACTCACACACATGTAGTGTTGCATGGTTTGACTTCTCTCATACAATATACTTCTCCTCTCCACTTCTGCCTGTGCCTGAATACTTCTGATTTTGCTTCATATTTGTCTCATTGTGAATTCACATTCGATGTGAACTTGTGGTTTTGATGTGGCACGTTTGGCCAAGTCATCCGCCACCTTGTTGAGCACTATTCCATCATGAGAACGAATCCACATGAATTTCACACTATGACCTTTCAGCTGTATCTCAGTTATCCTTTTCTTACAATCCTCAACTATGGACATGAAGACTGGGTTTCGAATGTTTAAGGAATCAAGTGCTCCTCGGCTATCGACAAATACAAAAACATTTTTGTCGTCATGACGTACTTCCTCCAAACACGCATAAATCTTATAATAAGCTACGGGATTTGCGGATCAGTATTTAAAAGGAATTCGGAAGTAATAATGATACAGCTGATGCCATCTGTCGGCAAAAGAGAACACTGTCAACTGGCTGGTCAACAGTAGCCATAAGATACAGCTTACGCCATCTGTTGACATCAAATTACACTTATAACAAATTACCCCACAAAATACAACTGGCGCCATCTCTTTTTTTTCCAACGCACTATAAATAGCCAAACAGCAACCCATAAGGCGGGTTGTTGTGCTCAGGTAGGAGGTTCTTTCTTTGTTGACATTCACACAACAGCCAATCACAGGAAGGGATCAGCTAAAGGCTCCATCCACTTAATAAATTATCTTTATTCAGCACACCATCCTTGCATATGATATTCTGTTTCAACTTTAATCGACCTAAAAAGTGAAGGGTTAAGTATCTATAAGCCTTAATAAAGTGGTAATTAAATACTGCGGGATGTAACGAGTGTTACAGAAACATGGGCTGGCTACCTGACTTGTGACGTCATCAGTGAGGGTTGCCTCACGCAAATAATATCGATGATACAATGCTCCGTTCTCTTATTGAACTCGATTATTCAGTTAGATGGAAATTTCTGTCTTGTACATAACGAAGAGGTTGTGTTTGAAATAAAGAGATTGTTGTGCAAAAAGACTTATTTCTTAGTTTGCATATAATATATAGAGAGAGTGTTGCCATTCCCAGCAACAGCCAATCACAGGAAGGTATTTGCTAAAAGTTCGTCTCCTTATCGACGTGCTCAGGAGCGACACACAGATCTAGCTTATGGCTTACTGTTTCATCTCTCGTATATAAAAAATATGAATATTTCGATTACTATGATTATTAAATGTATGAGATTATAACAGTTGTTACACAAAATGGCTAAATTTTGCCATTAAAAAGAGCTCATAGTGGATTTTGTAATAGAGTTTTATGGAAAGGGAGTTATACAATTTTTCTAAATATCTTCTGATATGGGTGTTGACTTCTCAAGTTCAAGTATGTTTATTGAGACAAGAAACAATACATCTCAAAGGGATAGAGTAGCTTAGGCTATTTCTGCCCCCCCCCCTCTTCTTCAAGTCCGTCAAGGAACTCACAAATTCAGTGATTACAAAAACACAAATCACAGCACAAGAATCCCATTTAGCATTGCAAAAATAATATATTTTAGGAGTAAATCCTTGTCTATGTTAATATTTATTAAACATTTAGTGGTGCTGACTTCTCAATTTGTGTAGCTAATACTTGAAGGCTTCTCTCCAGTTCTTTGTAGATTTTATACCAGTCAGCACAATGAGTAAGGGCTCTGAGTATAATTGCGTTTATTACACTATTCTTATATCTGTCTGACCATTCATACACATTCCAGTGTTGGTGGGTTTAGTATAACTTTCTGTGGTGAAAGTTGTCTTAGGTTCTCACGTAGACATGGAGGAAAGGGAGTGTACCATCGACGCCTAGTTCATGAGTAACGTTAACTCGGATAACTAGGTCCTTTAATAGCGACAATTCTAGGACTTTTTTTTTCACAAATACGTATATATTATCGATGTATCTGCAGTAGATGCGAAGTTTCCCTGTGGTATTGAAGGTTTTCTAGTGTTCATATTTGGAGTACCAATGGGTTTTATTTATATTTTTCAATACAACAAAAAATAATTATTATAATGTTTCGATTATTTCTGAGTGGGCCCAAAAATGTATTCCCCCTAAATAAATGCACATTATTATCATTATAATTGACTAAATCTAGTCCTTGCAGGCGAGATCAGTTGTGAACGCCAGCTAGCGCACAAGTACAAGAGCGCCCAAAATTAACACATAAGACATGGAGAGACAGGCGTGTAGCTTCTGACTTTGTTTTTATTAATTAATATTACATGTTAAGCGTTTACTCTTAATACATATTATTATATGTAAGTATAACTATCACACAGTAAATGTAATAGGAGTCTACCCAAAAACTGACCACAGTCAAGTGTTTTGTGCGTTCGACCATGTTTGTGGGCCTTCAGATACTAAGTGTAAACACTGGCGGGCGTCGTTCTTATGAATCAATTTCAATTTCTTTCTTTATTATGCACCACAAACCCATTAATCACATCAACATATCAGCATTAAGTTCAGTGTGAAATTCCTGTTTTGGCCAGAATATCAACCACTCTGCATGAGTGGACTTTTTAATGTTTTGTTTTCGGCAGCATTATTTCCTCAGTTTCTGAACTGGTTTCTTTAGCTTGTATGTTGTAATAAACTATTCCAACATTTACAGTTGTTCTTCCTTGTGAAGATTTAACAAAAAAATGTGCTTGTAAGAGTGATAAAGTTCAGCCCCGGCAGCACCCAATCTTAGTCCATAGTTCCATCTTTGTGGGACCTTGGTATAAGCCTAGCATGTATATATACACTGGCTACCTGTCCTCTACAAAATGATATATTATTAACAATTATATACAGTATACCCGGCTAAAGCAAACACAGCACAGTTTCGTCATAAGAGATTTCTAGATTGAAATTTATTACCAAATTTCAATATATCAAAGTATTTTTAGTGTGAAATGCTGATATTTTATGCATCATTTGTTGCTTTAATAATATTTCGGCCATCTCAACAAAGAACAGTACATCCTAATCAGGCGTTATAATGATATTCTTAACAGCAGATAAAAGAAAAGTAATTGTTACCTAATACCAGAATAGTATAAAATTTAACATAAGCTACGGGATTTGCGGATCAGTATTTAAAAGGAATTCGGAAGTAATAATGATACAGCTGATGCCATCTGTCGGCAAAACAGAACACTATCAACTGGCTGGTCAATAGTAGCCATAAGATACAGCTTACGCCATCTGTTGACATCAAATTACACTTATAACAAATTACCCCACAAAATACAACTAGCGCCATCTCTTTTTTTTCCAACGCACTATAAATAGCCAAACAGCAACCCATAAGGCGGGTTGTTGTGCTCAGGTAGGAGGTTCTTTCTTTGTTGACATTCACACAACAGCCAATCACAGGAAGGGATCAGCTAAAGGCTCCATCCACTTAATAAATTATCTTTATTCAGCACACCATCCTTGCATATGATATTCTGTTTCAACTTTAATCGACCTAAAAAGTGAAGGGTTAAGTATTTATAAGCCTTAATAAAGTGATAATTAAATACTGCGGGATGTAACGAGTGTTACAGAAACATGGGCTGGCTACCTGACTTGTGACGTCATCAGTGAGGGTTGCCTCACGCAAATAATATCGATGATACAATGCTCCGTTCTCTTATTGAACTCGATTATTCAGTTAGATGGAAATTTCTGTCTTGTACATAACGAAGAGGTTGTGTTTGAAATAAAGAGATTGTTGTGCAAAAAGACTTATTTCTTAGTTTGCATATAATATATAGAGAGAGTGTTGCCATTCCCAGCAACAGCCAATCACAGGAAGGTATTTGCTAAAAGTTCGTCTCCTTATCGACGTCCTCAGGAGCGACACACAGATCTAGCTTATGGCTTACTGTTTCATCTCTTGTATATAAAAAATATGAATATTTCGATTACTATGATTATTAAATGTATGAGATTATAACAGTTGTTACACAAAATGGCTTAATTTTGCCATTAAAAAGAGCTCATAGTGGATTTTGTAATAGAGTTTTATGGAAAGGGAGTTATACAGTTTTTCTAAATATCTTCTGATATGGATGTTGACTTCTCAAGTTCAAGTTCAAGTATGTTTATTGAGACAAGAAAAATACATCTCAAAGGGATAGAGTAGCTTAGGCTATTTCTGCCCCCTTTTTCTTCAAGTCCGTCAAGGAACTCACAAATTCAGTGAGTACAAATACACAAATCACAGTACAAGAACCCCATTTAGTATTGCACAAATAATATATTTTAAGAGTAAATCCTTGTCTATGTTAATATTTATTAAACATTTAGTGGTGCTGACTTCTCAATTCGTGTAGCTAATAGTCAATACATATATATATATATATATGTATATATATACTCAATCCACAAATTCTCTTGTGTCAACTACATTTACAAAACCCTGTTCTTAAATGCAAATCCTGCTCTGAAACTCTCCCTGAACAGATGTAATAGGACCCATTATCACCGCACCAGAAATAAATATCTCTTTGATATCCCCAGAGCCAAACTTAATCTTCTATTGTTGCTTACTGAATACATTTTTGTTTTTGTTTAACTGTTTTGACAATTACATTTAATATTTGGTCTGGCTCTTTGCTTCTGATGTGTGTGTTGCAGGAGACCTGTTGATTGTGATGGCGCAGGTGCTGACGGCGACGCAGATGGTGGTGGAGGAGAGGTTTGTGACCAAGTACAACGTGGCCCCCTTGCAGGTCGTCGGATGGGAAGGTTCGTCTACCACCATAACACGTTATCGTCCATCATCATAACACGTCATCGTCCACGACCATAATACGTTATCGTCCACGCCCATAACATGTTATTGTCCACGTCCATAACATGATGTTATTAGGCCTATAAGATGTTATTGTCATTCAGATTTACCCAAAACCCCTCAGTTTATGATAAAAAATGTCATTGTAGGTACTGGATCACTTGCTCTAGCACTGCTAGCTCATTGGATCTCTACCTTTGAGTGTACCGTAAATATTATCTTAAGTAGATACATTTGATTGTCGCTTTGCTTTATATTGACCCGTTTGTTGTATTATTCCAAAGTCAAATATTGACCCATTTATCGTAGTGATTTTTATTAAGGCATATAACTTACTTCCTTTTTAAAGAGTGGACAGCTCAGTTTTCTTGACTCGTTCAGACGACTTATAGGTAAATTTTCAATTTCTATTCTTTTCTCGATGTCTAATGGTGTTTGTATTTCTAGAACTGACTGTTCTTCCGTTTTCTAGGAGTGTTTGACTTTCCAAAACAGGCCAGTCTTCCGTTTTCCAGGAGTGTTTGACTTTCCAAAACAGACCAGTCTTCCGTTTTCAAAGAGTGTTTTACAATCCAGAACCAAGCAATCTTCCACTTTGCAAGTGTCTTTCGAAAACCAACCGGCCCATTTGTTCCAGGCGTGTTCGGGTTCCTGACGCTGACAATGCTACTCGTGCCCATGTACTACATTCCCGCCGGAAAGTTCAGCGGCAACGACCGAGGGGTGCTGGAAGACTCCATTGACGCCTTCGTCCAGCTGTCCAACAGCGGCCTCCTGGTGGGGGCCATCATACGTAAGCTGTGAGAGTTGACAGCATCTTGTTCTTAATTTGTCACAGTTTCTTTCTTTCTTTATCTAACTTTACAGGGGGTAAGGTTAGACAAAGCCTTTCTTTCTCTCAAGGTTCATGGCTTTTTCCTCCTCAGTGAACGTCGTCAGCATCGCCTTCTTTAATTTCGCTGGGGTGAGCGTGACGAAGGAAATCTCAGCCACCACCAGGATGGTCCTCGACTCCATTAGGACTCTGGTCATCTGGCTCGTCTCCCTGGCCCTCCACTGGCAGAACTTCCAGTACCTCCAGGTGAGGACGCGAAAGTCAAATTTTGGGCACCAAATACCAGCTAATAACAAAGAGACAGACACCCAGAGAGATAAAGGGTGACACGATGCAATTTTAATGTCCTCCCTTGCTTCTAGACCTTCTATATAAATATTTTTAATCCCTTATATCAAATAAAAATTTCATATAAGCTTCTAGACAGTCAATACGAAGTGAATAGGACGAAAACAGTAACCAAAATGCTTTATTCCTCTTCCAGAATTGTGGGTGTTCAAAATAAAGCCTTGGGAACCATAAGTTTTTTCTGGGGATAAAGGTTCGCTCACAGGAGCTCTTCGAAACCCCGATGAAATAAATTTGTTTATGATTCAGCTACTGGGAACAAAAAAGGAATAAACTGGTTCCCTATACTTTATGTAGGAAACCGACTGTTCTCATCTGATACAGAAGATCAGATGAGAAAGGAGGATTAGATAAATTAGCATAACATACGCGTCTATATATATGTTAGTATCGAGGAAACTGGCGGATTCCAGTCGGATTAGAGGAAGTTGTTGTGATATATAACATTAATCAGAATAAAGTTCCTACTCCATCATTATGATTTATCGGCGTTGTCTGCAGGACGTGACTACAACATACGAACATTAACGCAGATATCCTATACTCACTTCAGCCAATAGGATTTGTGGTGCTGGTGGTGGGGATGATGCTGTATAACGATGTGGTGATTTTGCCCTTCCTCCGCCGGAGAGGCCTCGTTCGTAGCCAGCACGCAGACATCGCCCCGATCAACGAACCCACGGACGAGTAAGTGACGCTCTCAGGTCAATAACGGATTAAAAGGATTCATTCTTAGGCTACAAAGCCTAAACAAGTAATTGTTCCTTCATTGGTATTTGGAAAACAAACCGTAACATACCAAAGTGGTGCCATCGATGTAGGGAATCATCAAGCTGAGAGCAGACTAGAATCAACTCTCAATTTAGCTGTTTTCCTATACCATTTTATCAGTCTTTAACAAGTGAGTGTTTTCTAATAACAAGCCAATGTACTTTTCAACTTGACTCCTCCCTACTCTCCATTATCATTGCGACTTCTATATTATAATTATTATTATTGGTATTATTTAACAAACTAAACATAATTACCCTAATATTAAATATATTATGGTCTAATGTGGGGCTTGGGCACCCAAACACAGCCTCTGAAATCATTATTAAGACTTCCTTGGTTTTAAATGAGCCACTCCTCAGGGTAAAATAATTACAGCGAGACACCAAACCCATTCTCACACCAACTGGATAGTAATCTAAATATCTGTGATGGTCTGAAATCATATTACGGTTCCAACAACAGTCTACTTGTAAATTAGCAAGTGCACTTCTGTCCGAAGTAGAGAATGTTCTATTTAAAATATAAAAATGTCTATGCCTAAATCGTTTTCTTTGAAACGGTGTGAAGAATTGGTTTACTGTAAAGGCAATTTTAGGGGGGAACTAAAATACTTTTCGAATTTCATTTTTCATGATAGTGGATAAGGGTTTATCCCATTTGCCTACCCAGTGCTTTTCACAATGCTATCCAGTATGTTAAACTAATTTGGCAAGAATGTTGAATTGTGTTACTGTTTCAGAGTTGATGGCATTGACAATGCTGGCGGCAGCGTTGATCCCTTCTAAACCACAGATGCGACTTCTGACTTAATTCCCTGTAGCCTGCTGCTGTATTTAGTAACCACACACACATGTGGAATTGGAGAAAATAGATCACACACACACACACATGTGGAATTGGAGAAAATAGATCACACACACACACACACACACACATGTGGAATTGGAGAAAATAGATCACACACAGCTTACAAATTATGTGGAAAGCTGTCGCCAGAGGAACACATAAAGAACATTGTGAGAGGAGCGTATACGTCGCTTTACAATTTCAGACTTGCTTTAAATTATATGGATGGTGAAATACTGATGAAACTGTTTAGGACTTTTGTGAGACCAAAATTGGAATATGCAGCAGTTGTATGGTGCCCAAATCTCAAGAAGCCAATAAATAAAGTGGAAAAGGTGCAATTACGTGCTACAAAATGGCTTCCGGAACTGAAAAAAACAAAGAGTTACAAGGAGAGACTAAAGGAGTTAAATATGCCAAAACTAGAAGATGGAAGAAAGAGAGGTGGTATGACCACCACTTACAAAATACTAATAGAAATAAACCAAATTGACAAAGAGGAATTCCTGAAACCAGCAACTTCACGAACAAGAGGACACAGATTCAAGCTAAGGAAACAAAGGTGCAGAAAAAAACATTAAAAAGTTTTCTTTTGCAAACAGAGTGGTAGACGGTTGGAACAAGTGAGAAGGCGGTGGAGGCCAAAACCGTCAGTAGTTTCAAAGTCTTATACGACAAAGAGTACTGGGAAGACGTGATACCACGAGCGTAGCTCTCATCCTGTAACTACACTTAGTTTGGAGGAGGAGGAATTTTCTCCTCTTCCCCCCCCTCCCTCCTCCTCCTCCTTCTCATGCGAATAAAAATTTGTATAACAGGAAAATTCCTTACGTTTGATTTGGAGCCCCTTTTCTTAACTAATACTAGTGCATGATTGGAATAAACACTAGGAGGAGGCTATATTGTAAAACCACTGGGCATTGTAATATTATTTATGCTACATATTCAAAGATGATACATAATGATCATTTCATCCAATTTATATCTGCATGTTCACATACATAATGTTCACATACAAAATGTTCACATACAGAAAATTCACATACAGAATATTCACATACTGCTGTTCACATACAAAATGTTCATAGATTGCGTAAAGCTCAACGACCAACGAACTTATAAAAGTTCATTAGCCCTAACGCAAGTTTCTCTTCCTGAATCTGAGATTTGAGAATATAAAATTTCTCTATTATAGGACTCTTATTATCCTGAGTGTGTGTGAGTAAGTTTGGTGTATGGGAGATGACTGGTGCACATGAGTGGTCTAATACTGCCCTGTGGCACGATAGGCAGTGTGTGGTTGGTGCACAACCGAAAACTCCAGAGTTCCATTTCCGCTCAGGAAAGAAACGTTTTGGCACGTTTCCTTACAGCTGATGCCACTTTTCACCTAGCAGTAAATGGGTACCAGGGAGTTGGTCAACTGTTGTGAGTTGACCTTCTTGGGTTAAGGCAGGCGTTGGCCAAAGAAAACCCCGTTGTTTTGGAAGTTTTTAATTTTTGTGTTCAAGGTTTCAGGCCTTTCTTCCTTCACAATCTATCACTTGAATCATAAAATATATATAAAGTAAAGTATTCTCTCAGCGTTTTTATATATTTAGAGAGAAGTACACGTCGATGCTGTAGGCTACGAACACGAACGGTTCACGAGACTCGGGTTATGAGAGATCAACATACGTGATACTATGGGGTCATAGGCTATACGCCACGAAGCCTCAAGTCTAGTAATGAAAATATATATCAGTACACCTGCTTTCATATACGTTTCTTTTCCTATCTTGCAGCATTTTTAAAATTTGCAGTTATAATTATATGTGATTCTGGCATATACGTGTATGTGTGTGTGTGTGTGTGTGGCGAACAGATGTTTATTTCTGGCAATACTTGCAGCAGTGACGCAAACTGATGTAGAGATTCCTTATTACTTTCTAATATTAGACGCAAGATGTTTTTAAAATAATTTTAAGGTTTAAGACATATGGCGTATGATGAAACATTCCATTGGCTAGTAGGCTGGCTACCAGACCTATCTCGCAAGGGCCAGTAGGCTTACTAAAGTGTTATTTTCTTCTGTTTTAAAATTAAATATGTTTATAAATGTTAATGTTATGGACCAATGTTATAATGTGTCCGAGACCAGAACCGTCTAGCGACTCGACGGTTGTGGAGGCCAGAGACGAGCAGTTATATTTAGGTGCATCTCGGGGGTGGTTTGAGTGAAGGTGGCATGGGGAGGATACCTTCAGTTGGCACCCACGAGTGCCTGCAGCCACCTGCACGGCCTCAGTGTCTCTGCTGCCATTACGATATATCTGCGACTGCTGCCTCTACGGTACTTGAACGTATTATTGTAAAAATAAGGACAAAAGTCAGTGCCAACGCGTTTAGTAAGCTTCGAAACAGTGATTTTTGAATACTTAACTGTTAATGATTGAAGGCGAGTGCGTATATCTAGAACTATTGACCAATAAATAATTTTAAGCAAAATATATTTTTCTGCTGCTGCTTTATCACCAGAGGGTAATTCTTGAGTAACTATATAGAGGCTGCTGCAGCCATGGTCGAGTTGAAGGTGGTAGCAACCGCGTCTGACGACCAAACTCACGAAGGCGACGCACAGTCAGTACACGTTCACGGCAACGTATTTACATGTGGAGAGGATGGCAAGGTGAAGGTGAGTCCAACTCATTTATTTCACAAGCTCTCTACGAACTGGGAAAGCTAATACAGTTAGTAATGCTCGCTACATAAGTTTATTTCAGTCAAAGCGTAGTGAGTGCGTTATTATTGTAAAACTGTACGCGCATTTTACCGAGATTTTGTGAGACTTATTCTTTTCGCACAGACTCCAAAAATTACACCTGGTTAGTTAAACGTATACTGGGTTTATGGTAAAAATACTATTGAAATGCCATGATTGTCTCCGTAAATACAGCTTAAAAATACATAGTAAATGCCACAAATATAATTATTACTCATCTACCAGTCAACTCTTTGACTCAACCCGTTAACTGTTTTGCATTTCGCAATTCTTCTCGTTAGAGTATCACGTTCCTACAAAAAAAGGTCGAATATCCAGTTTCCTTATTTCCAATGTCTCTCAGCCAAGCTGGAACTTTTGATATTAACACCAGCAAGTGTAACGCAATGAGAATGGGAAACGAAGAAGTGAAACAAAAATATCGGCTTACATAGAGGGAAATGCAGCTAATGTTCTCGGAAAATTAAAATATAACCTGTTGTGAACCTCACGTCAAACTTCACAACAAAAGGTGGGGCAGACACCTTTCCAAAACTAGTACAAGTACGTACTAGAACGTCGGGAGGTATAAACAACAGGTACTAATATATAGGAGTTACCGCTCGAGCTAGATCCCTCCTCCCTTCCCCACCCCCCCCCACTCCCGTAGGCACAAATATGTAGTCACTCGCTACACCCTCTTCCGTCCTACTCCAAATAACAATAATAATAATAATAATAATAATAATAATAATAATAATAATAATAATAATAATAATAATAATAATTTTTATTCACAAGAAGGTACAATGGGCTGGTGAGATTACATAAGATTGGTATTTGTACATTCTTGCAAAGCCACTAACACACATAGCGTTTCGGGGATGGTAGGTGTCTTGCAATTCTATCCCCCACCCTCCCAAATAAATTCACTGCTTTGTAGTCTTCTGTCTGTCCGAAATAGGAGGCTAGATACCTGAGGCCTCCTCCTCCTCACCCAACTTTTAAGTATAACACAGAGGGAGACGGGTATGTAAGTGTCATAGACCAGTCAGGGTCGGCCCCCAGTACCACCTTTTACGAAAAGGTGCTCCTCTCTTCCATTATCTCCTTCTCTTTCTCTACCCCATCTCATTTCCTCTCTCTCTCCTCCCCCCCTCTCTCCTATCTCCTCTCCCTGCCTTATAAAATAAAATGTTACGAGAAGATGAATTTTTGTTTACAAATTTCCACTGAAAAAATCCCTCATTTCAGATTTTCTAACAATCGTAGTGGGTGGCTAACAGGACCCATATTTCTTAAGGGAATGCAATGTGGCCAACCCCGACCAGCCTATGACAGTTAAATACCACCCATGTGTCATCTAGAAAAGTTGGGTGAACCTAACCCCCCAAGCGTCTGGCCTCCAACCTTAGACAGCCAGACATATATAAACCAGATTCACAGCCAGTGCCAGTATGAACCAATTCTCCTGTCTGTCACCCTTCCTGTCCACAGTTTACCTTATCTAAGCAGCTGGTGACCAAGCCAGGGGACGACATAGAGAGCGTGCTGATACACGCGGGTCGCGTCCTCACCTGCTCTACCAGTGGCTCGATCAAGGTATGTCGACAGCACCGCTCATCTGTTGTTGTTTTAGAATCAGCTCCTCGGAACAAAAAGTTGCAAGTAGCACGGGCTATGGTGAACCCGTAGTGGACTTACCTGGCACAGGAGCCGAGCTGTAACTGCGTTCTCACCGTGCTCAACTCTTCCCTCAATTCTTTATAGAGATCACTTCACCTCTGTTATATCACGTGTCCTGCCGGAAGCTTACTGAGCATGACAGCCTCAGCTGAACTAGTTTTACTATATCTTAAATGTTAGATACCGGTCAGTGCTCTACTGTACATACCTGCCAGTGTTGGTAAGTTTATGTTGTGATGGGATTTAGAGCTGCAACCAGGTACAGGAACCAACCATGTTATTCAACAATATATATATATGTGTCTCTTCAACCCGTCCTCTCAACAAATACGACGTTGTGGCACGTTATGGTAACCTGCGTACCAAATGCAACGCGCTATGAGAAGTAGCGGCACACACAAATCCACGTTTTCTATGCATCGACTGGTTAGGTTACGAGGTGGGGACGTCGGTTCGTATGTTTCTAGTTAGGTTTAGACGGTGAATTTTGTACGTTGTGGTGACTCGAGAGAACAGGTTGGTGTGTGTGTATGCGTGTGTAGCCGGTCCTCCAAAAATGGGGTGGTAAATGTAAGAAGACAAATAAGTGTAATTATGTACTATTCATAGCAGTTAGGAATTGTACTTATTTTCACTTAGTATTAAATCGTAGTCAAATTTATTGTGAATATTTGAGTTTACCTAAAAACTGAATAGAAAACCACAACCTCGCCTAACCGTTAACCTAACATTAGTGCCTAACCTAACCTAACATTATTACTTAACCTATAGCTATATTGATATCACAGTTTTATAAAACTAATAAAACAAAACTAAAATATATCAATAAATTGTAAAGTAACTCGGGATATTTTAAAATTTTGTATAAAATCTATATTGTTTAATAAACCTGAAAAAGACATTCCTAATATTTAAAACTTAAGAATTATTAATTGAATATTTCCTCCTAAAACTCTATATCGTGACAGAAAACAAAGCAAATTAAACTGGGGAGGGGTTGGGTAAATATAGCAGCCCCATAAGTGCAATTATTCACTTTATGACAATATGAAAGTATACTTATTACTCTTAGCATTAAATCGTACTGTCAATTTTGAGGATGGGTTGGCGTGTGATACTTCTCCGGAACGTGCCTAAGACCAAGACTAAAAGTAGATACATAGTAAGATTCCCATTGGGCGAGCGTTGAAGTGGTTACAGCTGAAGAGAAGTCAGTGAGAGGAAGCGTAGCAGTTGTAGAAACAGTGCCAGGGGGCTTAACCCAGCTGCATGATAAGAATTTTATGCTGGAACAACACCATGTCTGGTTTTCAGGCGGTCAAATAGGAGCAGCTGTGGTTGTGATATTTTCATTTTAGGTGTTGACAGTTTGTCTTTGTTGGTTAAGATTTGCCACCTGGAACAGTTCCAAGTTGCACGGGCTATAGTGAGCCCGCAATATTTGGTAACGTCTTCCGAGTGTGCATTAGTCATGGAACACTGCGGACGCGTAGTTGTAAATCACGAAAAACTCATATTTTTACCTCCTGGCTTTCCCCAGTTATCTGTGAATCAGTACTGAACTATTCTAAAATGTTTATTAAATTTTCAATTGTCATACCAACGGTAAATAAGGAACTGATAAAGTTGAACTAAAGTTGTAATTTTAGTTGATAAAGTTTGAATTATAGAGTTGTGTTTCTGCCCGAAACGTGCGTGAGTGTGAGTGGCTTTGCAACAATGTAAGAACACCAATGTTATGTACTCTCACAACCCAATGTACTTTCTTGTATATAAATAAAAAATATAATAAATAAAAATCTTTTTTTCTAAACTAAGTTACATTTTACTTGCAAGTTATAACTATAAATATTTTAGTTAACATATTTGTTTATATAAAAAATATTTATAAAATTAAAAAGTATATATATGTATATATTTATTTTTAAATATTAAAGGATTTTTTTGTCAGGCTGAAGGCCTATTAACCACCGGAGGGGGTCATTAGAGCAATGAAAACAGCCTACTGGCCGACCATCACATACGGCTGAGTCAACAACAGTCAACACTAAAATGGGGCACACTTTAGAACATATCTTAAAAAGCAACCAATAATCTTCGAATTTATTTTCTGCGACAGACATGACCATTTATTTACAACGTATATAAAGTAATGCTAACCAGCATAGTCAATGCATTTTCTCGTGTCCTCCATATTGTGGCGTTATTGTCACTCAACCACAGGTGAGTGAAGAGATTTTACAATGCTAACCAGCAACATACCTTTTCATCAGTCATATCAGATTACTTATTGTGCTGTGGGTTATTGAGATCTCAGTTACAGAATGTGTTTGGCGATGGAAAAAATACAATTTTAGTCATCATTTACCTATGGCACTATATTGACAGCAGGGATATATTCACCAAGCGACGTATATATATGCACTGAGAGTTTACTTTAGTTCTGGATTATGTTCAGGACTAACGTAAACGTTTGCAGTTCGTCAGCCAGCTTTGGGGGTAACCTTAGCATTCCTTTCGAAGTTCCAGCTACAGCATTCTTCACCCACTGACTAACACGACTGCAGACCTGTACCAAACTAGGTTAAAAACTAATTGGTGGTGGGTAGCACATTTTCTCAGCTGGATTTTAAGCTCCTTAGAAATGGCAGAAACACCTGTTCTTCTTCTTGATAGTAGGTGGAGTTTGCATGAAGCAGAAACACCAAACAGTGCCACGAAACACACACACACATAGGTGATTACACACACGCGCACATACGTTCAGATGAGCCACAGAGACGTTAGAATGAATTTTTTTCAGTGTCAGAGTAGTTAATAAATGGAACGCACTAGGAAGTGATGTGATGGAGGCTGACTCCATACACAGTTTCAAATGTAGGTATGATAGAGCCCAGTAGGCTCAGGAATCTGTACACCAGTTGATTGACGGTTGAGAGACAAAGCTCAACCCCCGCAAGCATAACTAGGTGAGTACAACAACTAGGTGAGTACACGCGCACACAAATGAACCCCATATCCATTCTGTATAAATGGGACTAACTCACCTGTGCCAAGTGGTTTTTCCATTTTCTTCCATGTTTACCTCTATCTTACAATAATAAACTCCAACCTGCACAGGTCTTCTCCCAGACGTTTACATACACTCCGTCTCTGTATCTTCCCTCACTGTTTGGTTCCAGCATTCTCGTCTGATATTTCACTATTTTCTCAAATATCCTAGTTCATAAAGGTTTTCTATTTGTTTCTAATGATAATTATAATAAAATAACATAATTTTCAAGCATTACATGTTCGTTGGATAGTTTCATTACGATATTAGGGGAATATTTATATAATTTCCGAAGACTTCCTGCTTCTAGGTGGGCGTTGCCTGGCTCGTGCGCGGACATGGCTCTACACACATCGGCATATATGGCGCCAATTTTCAATTTAGCCTCCTATATACTGTACACTAAAAACCTTTGTACATAAATGTTTATAAACGTGTAGATACCCTTTCTTTCGCCACCACCTCTAACCCCCTCCTCTCCTGTTTTCAGATATGGGACCACAACAACCTGAAGCTCCTGAACGAGTTCAAAGCCCATGATTACAGTATCAATGATTTGTTGGTGTTGGGGAACACGCTCTTCACCTGCTCAGTCGATGCCACTATTAAGACCTGGGACCTCGAAACTCTGCAGCTCAAGAAGACACTGGCGCCCCACGTAGACTCTGTCAGGAAACTTGCCACAAATGGTACCAACGTCTTCGCTGGGGATGATAATGGCGAGGTGAGACTATTGGTGTGTTGGTAAGTGTGTGTGAATGGTGCTGAAACGTATACTCGTTTGAGTGACGGGGTTTGACGAGCAGTTTTTTAGTTCAGTCTGTAACCCTTCAGTCGACTGCTGCGCAGGTTCCGGAGCGTTTGAGGCTTCTGGTTGCTGTCATATCTACAGTTAAAGTTCAGTACTGGCTACTGCATCCACCAGTTTTCTTTTTAGCGCATTCCATTTTGTCAGTATTCTGACACGGAAACCATTTCTAATGTCTTTGTGTGCCGGTGTTCGTGTTTTCTAGCTTAAGAGTAGAAGGAAAATGGAATAAATTTAGGAGGAGGTACTATAGAAGCTAACTTTATCCACAGCTTTAATAAAAGAAATTATGGAGTTAAGAGTTGGATGAAAACACACACACACACTCAATCAATCAGTTTAGTTGATTGAAAGTTGAGAGGCGGGACCAAAGAGCCAAAGCTCAACCCCCGCAAACACAGCACTTAATTGTGCTTGTGCTCTGAGAACACATGCACACAGGTTGCCCTGACATATCTGCTCCTCTCAGGTCTGAACCAACAACGAGGAATATAACCAATTTCCCCCCTTCCTCCCTGCCCTCAGGTGCGTGTGTATGACCAGGAAGGAGAGTTCCTGGCCATGTACGGAGTGGTGGAGGAGGTGTGGGACCTGCACGCCCAGGATGACCTCCTCTATACTGTCCGGGACAGAGGAGTAACCATCACCCAGACCAAAGGTGAGTGTATGAGCCTGCCTCTCTCTCTCTCTGTCTGTCTCTCTCTCTCTCTCTCTCTCTCTCTCTCTCTCTCTCTCTCTCTCTCTCTCTCTCTCTCTCTCTCTCTCTCTCTCTCTCTCTCTCTCTCTCTCTCTCTCTCTCTCTCTCTCTCTCTCTCTCTCTGGTTGTGTTCCGGCTTATGTTTATTATATCAAATATTAGTTGAAAGTTTTGATGAGGTTTTGACACATACAACCAACTCTTGGAGCATATTCCTACCATCAAACATTATATATTGTGGCGGTGCTCACTGACATTTTCGATATAAATGGTATATATTTATGTATAATCATGTAACTTTGTACAATAAAGTTCCCTGTATATATAAATATATAAGAGGGTGTTAAGAGAAGACAATATATGCCAGTGCACGTGGGAGCCCGACAAGGTTCCCCCGAGTGCTGCATATCCTCTTCTTCGAGGCTTGAGGGGGTCCCTACAAACAACTAGAGGTGGTACCCCACTATACTTCTCCCATTTATACAAACTTCCTACTTTAATTACTGAACACTCACACAGCTTATCTCAATCCCATTAGAGCACAAAGTGATTATTTTCTGGTCCCCGTGTGGGCCTCCTGCAGGAGAAACCAACAAGTTCACAGTGACCAAGTCTCTGGACGGCCGCGCTCCGCTCTGCGTGGTGGGGAACCACCTCAGTTTCCCGGACACCTCCGGCCTCTCCATCTGCGTCCATGACAACACCTTCGGATCATACAAGCTCAGGGGCCAACTACAGGTAGGTTTATACACTCTCAGTATATAGCAAAAAGGATATATTCTGTCCTATATCTGTTGTTATTCCCATTTATATTCCCGCTACGTCCGCAGGGACACGAAATGATCATCACCGCCCTGGCGGGTTGGGGCCCGGACCGGTTGGTCAGCTCTGGTTGGGATAACCAAGTACGTCTCTGGGACCTGTCTGCCCTCAAGGGCCTCGCCTCCTGCGCCCTTCCCGGCTGCCCAAATGGTCTCGCCTGCTCCCAGGATGGCTGTGTCTTTGCTGCGGGAGCTGAAGGCTTCCTGTGCAAGATGAAGGCTGTGTAGTGCGCTCCTACGGGCTGTACGCTCCTTCACCTTGCTCTTCTACGGCACTTTTTTTTTTCTTCTTATTCCAGAAGTTTCATGTGATCGACATCAACAACGTCAGCAACAGAAAACGGTGTCAACGGAAGATATCAACAACGGTAGACATTGTCAACAGAAGACATGTCAGACACGAAATAATATTAATAATGTAGCAGCTGCGATTATTATTATTTTTTTAAATTGAGGATTTACAATTATTTTCCCCGTGAACGCTTAATAGTTCACTGACTGTATACTCTGTAATTTAGTTGCTTCTAATAACCCATTTCTTATGCATTTTTATTTTTGATTTCTAATTGACATCTTATAGAACCATGCTTCTCTATATAGTGTATATTAGATTTTGAAAGAGTGATGTATATAAAATAATATTTATTTTATAACTCTGTGTATAATATATTCCCTTTATGGTCCACAATTAACATTGATCTACGATTTATTAGTGTTAGAGACTTGATAAATTCGTCAATAATATTTGTAAACAAAATACAGGGATATATACACCAAGAGGTAAACCCATCATCTCAGTGCATATACACTGAGTTTACTTTAGCTCGGAACTATGTTCAGGACTAAAGTATACTTGCAGGTGGGTAAGTAAATACTTGTGTTATTGTAAATAACACTAAGTAAATACTTGTGTTATTAGGCTTTGAAAACCATCCGGAGGTTGACTGGCCTTATTCCCAACACCTAATTTGCTGGTTGGTCAGTTAACCATTGCTGTGGCCTTATCCCGTTTAATAAAGTTTCCTAATCGAACGCCGACTGGCTTGAACGATTAATTAATTCATCTTGGATAACGTCACGTCCTTAACAGCGAGAAATCTACAAACTTACTCTGTTAGACGAGGCTGTAGTCCGACTGCTAGGCTGCCGGTCTAGCAGACACGAACGTCACCTCGGGTTGTGTGATAGTGACTCCTGCGGATGGCCCCAAGTCGCAGTTGTTAGTTATAACGTGTACTCTGGTACCAAAAAAAACTACATTTTCTCGAGTTTAAATTAAGACTAATGCACATTATAACTTTGTGAATAGTTATGCGGAGGGTAGGTTAAGTTACGTGTTTCGATTCTCTTGGTAATTTTGTTATTTGTTTGCACAGAACGTTAATATTTGCAAATGCATCTTTGAGGTCGGTTGTACCTCGGACGAGCATAGTCCCTGGAAGGTGAAGTCTAGTTCATAGTTGCATAGTTCATAGACGAAACTATGCAACTTTCGACAAATTAATTTTCCTTTTTTCCGAAGATTATGTAATTTTCGTGAAAAAATTACATTAATCTATTCTAAAAAAATGAAGATGTTAATATTTATGAAGGCATTGTTTTATATCTAATGAATAAACAAGTAAATAAAAATTCATTTATCTTAAATAACAGACACACGTTAATAATATCATCACTAACTAACAATACAGGTTTCTAACCAATGTGAACAAGATAAAATAAATAATATATTTGACAATGGCGCCAACACACCACAACAAAACAATGCCCTATGCTGTGCTGCTTGAAGCTTTTTGTTCCAAGTAGCGAATCTTTAACAACAACAAACTGAACAGTGAGTACACATGCCAAATAAACTAGAAAATTCTGTTACAAAATGTCGTCAAGCTAAACCTCTTTAACTTAACACTAAATTCTTACTTCCTGGATATGAGTGATATTTAGTCCGTTACTCAGCAAGGAATGAAAAAAACTCACTTTTCTCACTCACTTTAGCTCACTTTTCGGTTAATTAACATTGAGAGTTCATTTTAGGCCTGGACTATGTTTAAGACCAATGTATTCTTGTTGGTTGCTCAGTAACAAAATGTGGTGGCCTTAATAACCCTCCAGAGGGTAATAAACCTTAATCCCAACTCCAAACCAAATCATTGCATGATATTTAGCAGCGAGTAGCCTGTGTACATTCACTTGAGAGATGACTTACATCCTGAACGTTACCAGTCGGGTGTCTCTCAGCTATAACACAGACCTGGTTGTTACGGACACACCAGCGGGTGACCTGTATAGTGTGACTACGTTCTCGAGAGTTGTGAGAACTATTATAAAAATACGTGACGTTGTATCACTTTAAATTTGAGACTCGAGAATCGATAGAGAGATCAGCGTGGGAGGGAGACATCAGGGGAGACGTCAAGGCTGACATCAGGGGAGATGTCTCTTGAGGCAACAGGTGTTATTATAGGTCACTTGAGGACGCAGCTGTTGGCCTCTCGCTCGCAGGTGACCGGTGTGCCCTCCAGAATGAGGCTAGTGACCTCGTCCACCAGCTGACCTGACCTCTCCGCCCCCAGCAAGTGGGCCACACTCGCCCTGTACCACAAAAAATATATTATTAATATACATAAAATAATGATTGATAAAGATAACAGAAATAAATCTTACAGTGATAACGTTTTGGATACAAATGTGTCTATTTATGTTTTATGGATAATCAACAAATATGACATTGAATTTCCTAATAAAGATGATCTGGAGTGAAATTTATAAAGAATATAAGGATGAGGCTTACACAACGAGTCCCTGGAACGAGCTGTGGCCGGGGACGGTGTGTTCCACGGTGGATTTGAAGAGCAAACACCTCACACAGCCGGAAACGTTTTCATGTTCCGTCCACAGCGAGTTGAGCTCCTGGGCCAGGTCGTCCGAGTCGTCTATAAGTGAAGAGGACGACCTCCTGGATCTGTACTTGTCGTCAGCGCCCTCGAGCATGGTGTAGATGGAGTGAACGACACCCGGCATGTCTGACAGGTCCATGAATGTTAGGTCGTTGTGGCTGCGTCTCATCCCCTCGGTCGTCACCAGGACGCGGTAGGCGAGATAAGCGAGGAGCACAGCAGCACCAAGACCCCCTAGGATGAGATAAGGGTCGAGGTGCACCTTCGAGGTGTAGCCCATTGCGGAATAGCCCCCAATGCCTCCTGCGGACCCGTAGGAAGGGGCGCCGTAGGATGAGAAGGACTCGTCGTAGGCACCCTGGCTACCGTACGTCGCCCCATCCCTGCTGTAGCCGTCGTTCTGGTCACTGTATCCATTCCTGTTCATCATGGAACGACCTTCGACGGCTTCTGGGCGTCCCGACAACGGCAGCGACGACGGGCCGTTAAGTATCAGTTCGAGGCCTCTGGCTGCCAAGGGACTCGTCTTGGCCAGGTCGTCCTTGAACTGTTCAAGTTCATCTCTGGTGACGATGTTCCCGGCGACCTTCAGCACATGTCCGACGAACTGGTGCATGGCTTTCCACGCCGCATTTCTTACGATGCCGCCGACACTGGCCGAGAGGCTCCCGTCCAGCAATCTGCCAGCTGTCAGAGCCTCGAAGTGGTCAAAGAGAGGTTGAAGCTGGTCCGCTATGTACCCCGCAAGGCCCGGGTCAACTCTCTTCCCGACCACGTGGAGAAAATTCACCTTGTCGCCGAGGTCGAGCACCTTCTTGATGAGATCCAGCGGCAGCTTCTCCGTCATGTGCTGGATTTCGTACTCGTGATCCAGCCAGTTCGAGTAACCGAGAGCCAGAGACTTGAACTGTGCCCAAGCGTCTCCCCTCAGGCCGTTGAGGTACTGCATCAGAGGAACTTTATCGCCAACGTCGTTTTCCGACGCCTGAGATGCTCCTCCCATTGGCACCAGCGGCAGTAAGGTCATGTTGTTGAGTTCCTTGATAATGTCGCTAAGTGGTGCCAGTTTCTTGAGATCCAGCTTTTGTTTATTATTTTTCTTGGATATCGAACCTGGGTTTTTGATGTCGCCTACACCTATCTCAAACAGGCTTCCCAAGACGCTGTTCTGAGTGGTGGCTTTGTTGAAATAAATGTTGTGAGTGGATGAGGGGCTCCTGGTGGAGGCTGCCACACCGGGGCTCGTGTCTGAGACTGGTTCCTCACCCAGTACTAAGTTGATCAGAGAGCCAATAACAGTCTCGTTGCTGGCGGATGGGTGTCGTGTGCTTGGCGTATCAGATCTCACCCTCGATGACGATTCTTTATCCAATACCAGTTCTTGCAGAGTTCCAACACCCTCCGTGGCACTGGGAGTGCTAGTGGTGAGGTGCAGGATCTTGGACGCCACGGGACTGGAAACTAGACGGGATTGTTTATCCACTAAAAAGCCTGGCGAAGCTCCAGTGACGTTAACACTAGTGGAGAGATAGCGGACAGCGGTGCCGGAGCTGGTGACCGGAGGTGACGCCTCGGTCATCACCATACCTGCCACAGTTGCGTCATCACTCGCGTTCGTGGAGGAGTACAGACTGGAGGTCGAACCGGGACTGGTATCTGCAGGCGGTTCGTCTCCCAGTGGAGAAGCTGCCAGAGTACCAGCATCCATACCGCTGGGAGTGCTCGCCGACGGGTACCCGGTGGCGCCTGGGATGGTACTCGCGGTATCAGTAAGGGGTCGTTCACCTAACACCATTCTCAGCAGAGGGCTGGCTCCGGAGCTACCAGACAACCGTTCTCTCAGCTCGGCTAGGGACTCCGGCTGCGACCTAAGCAGTCCTAGGGGATTGTAAGCTGACCTGGAGCCTCTTATAGGACTGTGATCTGAGCTGGGACCTCCTAGGAGGCTGGGAGTAGCCAAGGGGCCTCCCAGCGCCACTGCCACAATCACCATCTGCCACACCGGTGCCTGCGAGTGAATAAATTTAAATGAATAAATGTAAATCAATATATTGTTGACTTCCTAATGTATTCTCGAGGAAGCCATTGACAACTACTCGTGTAATCCACTTACTAATAATGGTGATAAATACAAGAAGGAAGCGAAGACGAGGAATGGAAGAAGCATGGGAAGAAAGATTAAATGTAGTAACAAAGAGAAAAGTGCCGACGATAGGTATATAGAGAAGGAAAGGAGGATGAGAACGATGGTTAAGGAGTCCAGATGAGGGACAGAAGCGAAACAGAAATATCTTTACCATATATTTGTGAGTTACTAATTATGTCTCAGTCTTCCCATTTCTATCTACTCATCTTTCTCTCGTTCCTCGCCTCCTTCTCTCATTCCCCCACCTCTCTCTCATTCTCACCTCCCCCCTTCCTTCTCTCTCTCTCTCCTCTCTCTCTCCCTCTCTCTCTCTCTCTCTCTCTCTCTCTCTCTCTCTCTCTCTCTCTCTCTCTCTCTCTCTCTCTCTCTCTCTCTCTCTCTCTCTCTCTCTCTCTCTCTCTCTCTCTCTCTCTCTCTCTCTCTCTCTGTCTCTCTCTCTCTCTCTCTCTCTCTCTCTCTCTCTCTCTCTCTCTCTCTCTCTCTCTCTCTCTCTCTCTCTCTCTCTCTCTCTCTCTCTCTCTCTCTCTCTCTCTCTCTCTCTCCCTCCCTCCCCACCCCCCACCCCCATGGATACCGTACACTCAAACACAGGTCCTCCCCCACACCCAGCACACATGCCCAGCCTGAGGACAGAACTGACCACGGCTCCACCCACTGACCGCCTTACTCCGTCGACTGTAGTCCCTCCGCGGCCCCATTTCAACAGTCCCGGGGGGCGCCAACTGCCACACTGCCCCGGGAAGGTGGGTCCGCTACAAGTAACTGGGCTTGTAGCTGAGGGCTGAGCACGTTCCTGGAGCCGCGATATCCAGCACTTCTTGGGGGAAAACTAGGCTGCTCTGGTTTGTTACGGGTGTAAATATTGCCGGGTGTAAATATTGCCGGGTGTAAATTTACGGGTGTAAATATAAAAAAAGTATTGCCATTGCTTGGAGTTGGGCAGGCTTTAACTCAACCTCTGGAGGGTTGTTAAGGCCGCCATAATAGCTTACTGGCCGAGCAGCAAGTGTATATGTTTTGTGTCAAGAACTACAGTAAGCTCAGTGTATATATATACACCGAAAAGAAGGGTGTGTCAGGTAAGTCCACCACGGGGCTCACCATAGCCCGTGCTGCTTGGAACTTTTTGTTCCCAGTAGCTGAATCTAAAACAACAACAACAATTGTATGCCTTAGAAAATGATGTGGTGGAAGCAAATGATACAGCTTAATAGGCTCATGAATCGGTACACCAGTTGATTTACAGTTGAGAGGCGGGACCGAAGAGCTAGAGTTCAACCCCCGCAAGCACAACTAGGTGAGTACACAGGGGCCTCGCGGCTGAGTGGATAGCGCTTGAGGGTCGTAGTCTAAATGGCCCGGGTTAGATTCCCGGCGGAGGTGGAAAGAAATGGGCAAGGTTTTTTTCACCCTGATGCACCTGTTCACCTAGCAGTAAATAAGTACCTGGGAGTTAGACAGCTGCTACGGGCTGCTTCCTGGGGATGTGTGTGTGTACTCACCTAGTTGTGCTTGCGGGGGTTGAGCTTTGGCTCTTTGGTCTCGCCTTTCAACAGTAAATACACCAGTATTTACTCCTTGTGTGTGTGTGTGTGTGTGTGTGTGTGTGTGTGTGTGTGTGTGTGTGTGTGTGTGTGTGTGTGTGTGTGTGTGTGTGTGTGTGTGTGCGCGTGTAAGAGAAATATATGTAGAAGACATAATAGAGGAAAATAAATATGTTAGAAACGCGGGGTCCAAGAGCTAATAGCTCGATTCTGCAGATTCAAATAGTAAATACAAATACACACACACACACACACACACACACACACACACACACACACACACACACACACACACACACACACACACACACTAAAGACTAGCCGAGTTCCATTGCCTAGCTGGGCCCCTGAAGCATTCATTACTAAAGCCTAAAGGTAGACTCCTTAATTTACATATTAAGACCTGCGAAACCTGGCAACGTGGGTCGCGGACGGTTGGAGAAGACCACATAGCTAGAGGGAGAGAAGCGGCAAGGAGGGAGGGAGTGAGGGAGGGAGAGAGAGAGGCAGAAAGGTAACTAGCGAAGGAGTGAGGAAGAGAGAGAGAAAAAAGAGAGGGAAGAAGAGAGAGAGAGGAGGGCAGACAGCGTAGTGGATTGATCGTTGTGTTAACCTTGTCGAACCCAATTGTTTACACATTTTACTGTGAGTAAAAATAATTTATTATTCTTTCTTACCTTCGTCATTTTGGGGGATGTGTGACGTTTTGTTGATGGCTCCTTGTGGATAGGACCTTGTTTATGGCTCCTTGTGGATAGGACCTTGTTTATGGCTCCTTGTGGATAGGACCTTGTTGGTGGCTCCTTGTGGATAGGGATGGCTCCTTGTGGATGGTGGCTCCTTGTGGATAGGACCTTGTTTATGGCTCCTTGTGGATAGGACCTTGTTGGTGGCTCCTTGTGGATAGGACCTCGTCGGTGGCTCCTTGTGGATAGGACCTTGTTGATGGCTCCTTGTGGATAGGACCTTGTTAATGGCTCCTTGTGGATAGGACCTCGTTGGTGGCTCCTTGTGGATAGGACCTTGTTTATGGCTCCTTGTGGATAGGACCTTGTTGATGGCTCCTTGTGGATAGGACCTTGTTGATGGCTCCTTGTGGATAGGACCTTGTTGATGGCTCCTTGTGGATAGGACCTTGTTAATGGCACTGTAAGAACCTTATGGATCGAGCCTGTCCAATACAGTTGTCACAGCAGACAGAAAATGACGTAGTAAATTGCTTAAACCTAACCAAACCGACGACCCAATTATAGAAAACGTGAACTTCTGTGAGCCGTTATGATTTATAATACATCATATTTTGGCCGTCGAAGGCTTTTAACGTCCATATTCAAGTATCATTCGAGAGGACGGATTGTTCCACAGTGTAAACGACACCTTATGAATGACACCCCGTGGATGACACCTCGTTCATGTACACTACACAGATGACACCTTACGTGAATGGCACCTGCTGGGTTGTCACCCTGACGATGTCACTACCTTGTGGATGACAACTTTCCAGTTGCCAGCAGGCGTATGGCAGGTTTAGGATGACGCCGCCTCAGAGGTACGTCCCCCTGTGATACAGCCACCGGTTCCCAGTGGTCTTTGAACCACTTTGGTTTTGTTGCGCCACTGGCGAAGCAAAACAAAAAGGTTTGTGTTGAATTTGCAGTTTGTTTACAGTGGGTTGACCTGTGGCTAATTCCTGACGGAAGGGTCACTGCCAAACGCACTACTTGTACTTCAGAGTAAAGTGAAAACGGTACAACTTTCCGCTTCACAATGGGTCGACAAAATGTTTCGTTGCAATGCTATTAAAGTTGCAAATCGGTACTGTCATCAATACGGGGCACTTTCCCCATCGTCAGCTGAAGGAACGGTAAATCCTGCCTCTCAGTGACATAATCACTGGTATACATGTGTTGTTAGCGTGAGAAAAATCTTCATTAATCCCCGCCGTCAGTAATAGAGACAAGCATTAACACAACAGCCACAACAGGATCAACAGCTCAACTTGATTGTTTGCAGAGTGTCAGCTAAACTCAACAGCCAAACGGCGTAAGGAAGGAGGGAGCGAACTGAGAACGTTCTCTTTCCAGCGACAGCAGCAGACTGAGGGAACGGGTATCCTCCGTTAGCAATTGACTGCAGCGTGTTCCAGTATATTACCTACTGAAAACTCTCGGTTGAACGTTGCCACCTCTCTCTCCCGTCTCCTATATTAGGCAATCGGGCCAGTGAGCATAGAGATTTGTCACTGAAGATATATATATATATATATATATATATATATATATATATATATATATATATATATATATATATATATATATATATATATATATATATATATATATATATGACAGGTTGCATGAGCGCGCCAGTCATTAATCACTATTGACCTTCCCAGTATGATTCGAACCTGCTCCCAGGATCACCCTTGGCGTACAGAGTACCGTAATTATTATTATTATCATTATTATTAATATTATTATTATCAAGGTTCAAAGAGGAAATGTCAGTTACACATAAAAGATGTAAAAGATGATATACAACAGCATTAGTATTTAACTAATAATATTACACATACAGTAACTCGTTTATTCCAAAACATATTAAATTACGCTGCTTCAGTAATACAACTAACAATATATAATTAAATATCTACAACATTACATTTAAACTAAAACACATATTTAAAAATACGTATACAACATAACATCTTCCAAAACTCATCTGTAACAAGACAATTCATCAACAATAATGAAGAAGTGATGATACTGCTGGAACATTATTCACGACTTCTAAATGTCCAGACTACAGTCTGTCTTCCCAAACAGGAGTATACACAACAACAATTGTACCCCGCTTCTCCGTGTATAATGAATTTACTAAATTCAGGACTGGAGTCAGGAATTAAGTTTATTTTCTTAACCCCCATGTGGTTGCCTCACTAACTCTGGAGATGTTTACACTGAGGCCACAACCCCACCTGTTTACATCTACACATTGAGTGTGTGTAAATACAATTCGAAACTCTCTATGTTATCATGAATTATGTCCAAAATTAAAGTAATGTTTAGAAGTCTACTAATTTATAATGGTGGCCATAATTACTATCTAGAGATTGACTGCGGACCCCATATTCATATTGTGAGCCGTAGCGTAATAGAGATATATAAGACCTTATTCAGTTTCAAGCGGATGTTATTTGACATTGGATTTGAATAGTTTATATGTACACATTTTGTATTTAATTACAATGTTAAATAACAGAACGTTGTTTACACTATAGCTCCTTTGTATGACTATAATATTGCACATAAGTTAGTTAGTTTAGTTCATTTATTATGCACCCCATACCCATCTTGTGGGCGGTAGTGGAAAGGGGTTACAGAGGCACATAATTTGCTCAGGGACTGAACCCCACAATTCATTTAGCTAAGCAAGTTACAATCTTGATGAGCTAGTTACAAAATTCAGTATAAGTCGTCACATTACCAATTAGTTCAAGATCGACCACAAGTACAGTTTCTTAATCAAGCAACTGCAGTCTCCGTGGTGTAGTGGTAAGACACTCGCCTGGCGTTCCGCGAGCGCTATGTCATGGGTTCGTATCCTGGCCGGGGAGGATTTACTGGGCGCAATTCCTTAACTGTAGCCTCTGTTTAACGCAACAGTAAAATGTGTACTTGGATGAAAAAACGATTCTTCGCGGCAGGGGATCGTATTCCAGGGACCTGCCCGAAACGCTACGCGTACTAGTGGCTGTACAAGAATGTAACAACTCTTGTATATATCTCAAAAAAAAAAAAAAAAAAAAAAAAAAAAAACTGGCATATGCGGAGAGCTAGTGTCACAATTGATATGTTTGTCCTGCACAATACCGCATAGAACATTTCCCTAATAATAACTTCATCGGATCCAACAGTTGCATAGTGCTTGTGGCTGGACCAGAAGGGGAGATTAGGCTAAGCATGAGATATATCAAGCATTTCAAAATGTTTCATCTTTAAATTTCCTTAACGCAATATTAAAATTTCCTTGATTTTTGGTGTTCAGAGGCATTGCAGTGGATAATAACTTGGGGAATCTTTACTCTGGCTTGCCAATTAGCGTCATGCTAGTGCGCATGACGCACTAGCATGACATATTTACGAACAAACATGACGAGGGATAATACTGCAGAATCATCCCCAACACTGTATAACTTCGCTATAAAACTGTTCACCGTTATTCACCGTATATGTATAACTGTTCACTGTTATACACCGTATATATATAACTTCCCTGTTATACACCGTATATGTATAACTGTTCACCGTTATACACCGTATATGTATAACTGTTCACTGTTATACATCGTATATGCATAACTGTTTACTGTTATACACCGTATATGTATAACTGTTCACTGTTATACACCGTATATGTATAACTGTTCACTGTTATACACCGTATATGTACAACTGTTTACTGTTATACACCGTATATGTACAACTGTTTACTGTTATACACCGTATATGTATAACTTCACTGTTATACACCGTATATGCATAACTGTTTACTCTTATACACCGTATATGTATAACTTCACTGTTATACACCGTATATGCATAACTGTTTACTCTTATACACCGTATATGTATAACTTCACTGTTATACACCGTATATGCATAACTGTTTACTCTTATACACCGTATATGTATAACTTCACTGTTATACACCGTATATGTATAACTGTTCACTGTTATACACCGTATATGTATAACTTCACTGTTATACACTGCACAACTAGTCAACTTCTCTGTATAATATATTAACGATGTTGTGACAAAATACCATTTCCACCCGGAAAGGTTTGGAGCAGATTTACTGAATTAGTATAGAATTTGCTATATAAATAACATATGGAATATTTTCCATATAAATAAAAAAAAGACTCAGTTTTGGCATACCGTTCACGAGGGTACATAATAAATGAATTATTCATTTGGTGTTTGGCTTAAGGCCTATCAACCAAGGGACGAGTATTGCTATGCTATGTACTCTCACAAACCCACTGTACCTTCTTGTATATAAATAAATAAATAAATATTTAGACAGCAGTAATCTACCAACATAATAGCTTACTGATCAAGCAGCAAGAATGGCCTACGGGCTCACCATAGCCCGTGCTACTTGGAACTTTATGTTCCAGGTAGCGAATCTTTAACAACAATCAGCAAGTATGCTCAAGTCCTATACATAGTTTAAGTATAAAGTAAACTCTTCTTGTATATAGACTGAGAAGAGGGGTATATCATTCGATGTATATGTATCCCGTTATACGATTTCCTCTCGCAAGACACTATGTAACATTGAAGAACTTGGGATGTTGTCTGGTTCAGTCTACCATTCTCTAATATTACTTCACGTTTTCTCTCATAACTCTAACAGGAGGAAAAGAGGCATAACTATTCGAAATTGTTGCCAATTTAATAATAATGCTTTCCTAAACCTTAACAAGAACAACAAAAACTTTGAACTACAGTAACAGTTATTTCTCCAAACAGGACAGACGCTTTTTACTGAAACTAAAAAGAAACACAAGAAGAGAACTAGAATGACAGCTGCGCGCAATGGTTAGTACGTTTAACATCACTAACACTTTCAGGTGTTTTCGAAGGATAGGTGTCTGAGAAGGTGTTCCTGGAGATCAAGTGATGTACAGGTATTGTTGGACATCAGGTAAGAGGGCAGGTGATGTTCGACATCAAGTAGAGTTCAGGTGTTTTTTGTTTAGGTCAAGCTGAAGTGCAGATATCATTAGAGGTAAAAAA